ATCCATGGTTTGTTGGAACAGTTTGCTCTAGACCACATGATTGTCTATCTTTCTACAACAACCCATTGTATAACACTAACACATATTCAATCCATTCTCAACCCTTGAAAGTGCGTATGAGAGCCGATGAGACAGAACTCATAGACATGGTCTAAATTGTTGAGGGAAAGGCAGGGGAATTTCCCAACTGAAAAAGGTGGGGAAAGGAATGTGCATATATATACAAATAATTATTGTAACTCCTCTACCTCTCTCCCACCACAAAAACTATGTTTCTCCAACCTGGCACCTTTCCCATATTCAAAAAAGGTGGCTCACTACTTCATGGTTAAATATTGTAAGTGTTGGGTTGAATCCAGCTCTAGGTGGAGTAATTTCACTGGTGGGAGTAAACTTCTCCTTCCTATGGCAGTACCTTCACTCCCTTGAGAATGAAGGGAGTTAGAAAGCTGCTGACTGGGGTGAGCTGTGGGGGAAAGGGAGATCCCAAGAACAGGAGCAGATAAACCACAGTTGTGTGTGGGATCAGCCCAAATTAAGTGAGGGAACCCTGCACAATGGAGCACTTCCTCTTTTTATATATCTTTGTTGTCAACAAGCTGTACACTTGGCATGCAAAAATTATGGAGCATTCCCTTCTTTCCCAGCAAGAATATTTGCCCTGTCCTGTTTTGTAGACTTCTTGGCCTCCAAACGAAAGGATGCAGTTCACTACCTTTAATAGGACTGACATATGGCATTGGGTTTATTACAAGTTGAGCTTTTATTGCTTTGCTCCATGGAGGAACTCTGGACTTCTTTAATAAACCTGCAGATCTTTAGTCCTAAGTGCACTTCCTTATCAGGTTCCACAGCCACATTATTGCAAGTTTAACATTCAGAACATTTCACTGATAACAAGCACTGTTAAACAAAACATTGGATGATAAAAAAAAGAGCAAATTCATTTATTGTTGGCTACCCAATCATAGCAAAAAGCAAGATTCTCTCTGTGCTATGTTTTCTTGGATATCTAAACAGCTGAAGTACCATCATCATTAAGAACAAGGCACCCCTGCTTCACAGCATAACCATTTGACTATAGAGCTTCTGTTCTTCTTTGCTAATATTTCAACAGTGCAATCTTATGCATGTCTACACAGAGGTAAGCCCCATTCGTTTTAATGGGGCTTACCAGGTAAATGGTATATTTATTATTTAAAAACATTCCTTAGCTGTCTTTCAGGGCAGACACCCTTCCAAGGGACACAAAACAACAGAAGCACAATAGGATTGCAGCCCAAGCCCTTCAGGGGCTTCTAGTGGATTATACAGGATTGCCGTCTGGCTTCTTTCCAGCAGCAGCCATGTCAGGTAGCTACATCTAAGGGAGAGAGGACTCCATTGACCAGGCTTTGCCCAAATGCTGTTTGGGCCCTCCCAGAATTGTCTCCCACAGTGTCATTACAACAAATATGGAACTTCCTGTAAGATATGCTGCCAGAATTTGATTATTTCACTCTTCTTTCTCCACCTCTTTTTCTTTTTATATGAGGTTGTATGCTAGTCTCAGAAAACCTATGTACACTCCCATGAGGGGAAAATGCTTTAGTTATACAACATCATGGGAGCATAAAAGACAGATAGGAGGACTTTGGTTCTCCATCATGAATTTAGGGGATTCCATTTTCTCAATCTGCTTATTTAGAAGATTAACTGATTCTAATGTGGTAACTGAAGGACATTTTGGAACAATTTCCCAGGACCTGCCTTCCTCCATGTTGCAAATGGAACTTCCTTATATGCTAAAAGAAAGGGGGCAGCCTGTTTGTTGAGATTGGCACTCGTGTGCACACATGCACACAGGTATGCACACACCGGAGCCTGCATAAGTATGGCAGGGCCTTCTCACTGCAAAAAAGGCACTATAATCCAAAGCAGACTTTGCCACTGTGGTGTCCTCCAAGGGTTTGGACTGCTACTCCCTTCACCCTTTCCCATTTGCCAAGCTGGTACGAGCTGATGGGAGTGTCAGTCTGAAACCATATGGAAGGTGCTCCATTTCGTAAGGCTGAGCTAACGTAGCTATTAGGAGGGAGGCAAAGTCACACAAGACATAGCAAAGGAGTTGCATTTAAGGTTCTTAACTGGGGGGTGGGTTTAGGGTTGTAGGCCAGATCCAGACCACCTGGGGTCCCAGTCTGGCCTTCTGAGGAATCCACACTACCTTCCCCTACCCACTTTCTCCAGACTGGCCATCATTTCGGGTTTTCCCAGCTTTTGCAAGAATTTCCCCATTCTAACAGGGCAATCCTATGACTTCTTGGGGGACATTGGATTCTTCAGATTCTCAGCTCCAAGGATGAAAAAGGGTTCCAATCTCTTGCATATTATGATAGTTTTCCATTTCCCGTTAGCAGCCAAGCCATCTCTTTGCTCAGTGATTAAACCATCATGTCTAATGCTTGCCAACTCATTTATTTCATGTGATGTCTCTAAGTTGTGTTTCTGTACAAATGTTAAGACCACATATTCTGGACACTGCTAACACATCATGTTTTCTTAGGTATTACGCTATGATTAAACAAATGTCACTTTTAACATCACATCACATCACATACATGTGGCTGTTGTCATTACAACATGCCCCCAAAAATACTTTATTGGACAAAAATGTTTTGTTCAGATTAAAAAAAAGTTTGTTATAATTTATTATTCTTAAAGTTTCTCATAATTTATTCTTTTAAATTGTGTTTGATAAAAGCTTTGCTATGTTATAAATACCTGTAAAGAAAATATAATGTTTATTTTCTTTGAGATAAAATGTTTTATCTTTCATTGTACATTTTCACAAAACACATACAGGCACCAAGAGAAGACTAACAAAAATAATTTAACATCTGTACAATAATGCACTCTAGGTTGAAAATATTCAAGCAACATAATTTGTATGAGGTTAATTTAGATTTTGTGATTTTAAAAAAAATGTAGATGTAATAACTTTCAATTAAGAAAAGCAAAGCCCACATTATTTTAAAAGTTTTAGCCTGAATGCAACAATCATATGTGGCCATAATTTAAAGTGTGCACTTACAATTTTCACAATGAAGAATTATATTTACTGCTCTTCCTTAAATAAAATAGCCAGTAAGAATCATGATCTAAGTAAGATATTCATGTGAGTTGGATGCACTGAGTTAAGTATAATGTGCCTTTCTGGTTCTATGAACTTCATACAAGAAATTATACATTGTTTTCCACTGCCAACTGTTAACCATCCAATAATTAATCCAAGCAGTACTTTCTATTGATCACAACACAGAACTTCTGTTTCCTTGAATGTTGCTGGGACTCAAGGTAAAGCCCTCATCAGAACTACCTCAATTTTGCAATGTAAACATGATGCCACAGGCCAAAAAGAAGTAAAATAGGGAGGATACAATATTATTAGGGGCCATTGGCTTGAATCCAGACTCCGATCACAATGAACAAGTCTCACTGGTTTCAATAGCTCTTTTCTCTGTACAGCAAAGTCAGGATCAGACCCATCTCATTTAGCATCTGCTTATATGGAGTAATTTTGTTTCTCTTCCAGTAACTCCTATAATCAGTGAAATGAAAACTAGAGTAAAACTGGTATTCATCACCTGAAGTGCATTTTAATACAATCATCTTCCCAGTGACAGGGGCAGCTTTCTTTGTGGAAGTACCAAAAAGTTGGGTGGGGAAGCAGGATTTCTTTTACTGATATTGAGTCAGTAAATGATTGCTGTGTTCTCCATGGCAGCCCTGTTACATTGGGGAGGATCAAAATGGGTGTTGGCACAGTCCACATGCAATGTAAGGAGAGTTAATGTCTTTGACAGTCATCCACTTCTCTACCTGGAAGCATACTAACAGTAGGAAATAGGACTTTTTCTGAACTAATACAAGCTTTCATTTGGAGACCTTGAAGAACGGAGAAAAAACTACTTCTTGCATCTGGCAATGCAGCCACAACCAGAGATTAGAGAAGGAAGTGGGAAGAGCAACCATCATTTCCTTCTCCAGTGCTGGAGAAGGAAAGATAAGAGGTAAATGTTTCGAAGGTATTAATGGAGGGATGTGAGAAAAGGATGGACGGAGGTCTTAGGCACCACTTCTACTAGGATTGTGACCTAACAGGGCAAGAACTTCTGGCTGCAATGCTTTATTTGCATATGGCAAACAGTGCAAGCATGCCTAGATGCATCTTCTGAGCTGTGATAATGTTTGGATCCACCACTAAGCAGGAAAAAGCTATTTTAGCAGGAAAAGTGGATGGGCAGTGTTCTAAAATGCTTTCCTAGAATTAAATGACATTGAAATGGATACGTCTTAAGGGTTATGATCCCAAGCATTGAAATTGTGTGTTCATTTGTGATTTCCCACTTTCCCAGGCAGGGAGGTAGTACATGCCTGGTTTTCTCCTGAGAAAGCTGAAGGCAGGAGTTAAGGACTCCTTTTCAACCCATGCCAGGAGCTGTTGCTGGGAAACGGGTGCAAATTACCATATATTTCGCTCTATAAGATGCACTTTTCCCCCCTCAAAAGTAGGGGGAAATGTCTGTGCGTCTTATAGAGCGAATGTGTGTGTGCCCGACACCCGGGACACTGCCGGCCCGCCTGCACCACGTGGCACCACCTGGCCGGCACGTGCTCGGCACGCCCTGCTCCGCCCCCCACCTCCGGCGCAGGTGAGAGCTGTGCCACTCAGGGGGAGCAGTGTGGAGGAGGAGGAGCCACGGACTTTAACCACCGGCCACACAGAGAGATGGACTGCTCACCCCCACCACCCGGGAAGACCTGCCACCACCACTGCGCCACCCGGAAGACCTCCTCCGGCGCAGGTGAGAGCTGTTAATCACAGATCGGTGTGTGTTTTCAAATGGCAACCCGACTTTTAATGAAGCCCATGGGGAAGTGATGGGGAATGTGCCTGTGATTATCAGGAAGCTTTCCATGGATCCCTCTTCTAAAAACTAGGTGCGTCTTATGGTCAGGTGCGTCTTATAGAGCGAAAAATATGGTATTTTCCTCCTTTAAAAGGAAAACAAACATGCCTCAGCACTCAGTTGGTGTGGTCAGAACCTAGGAGGTAAAACACTTTCACACTACCTTTGTCCATATTAAAATCCAACTGATTTCTTTTAAAAGCAAATTTAGTACATACATAGCAGTTGATTGGTCTACCATATGATTTGAAATGAAATAGATATTGATTGGGGGAGGGAGGGAGAAGAATTTATCATCTCTGTTTATTCTACTAGCTAGTATGTGCTGGATTTATATCATTTAAATGAATCTAAATGCATTCATTTGCTCCATGTTGCTCCAATTTTCACTGTTGACTCAACAGTGTCTTCTCATTTGGGATTTACATATTCAAGAGAGTAAATTGCAACCTTCATCTCTACAAACATGTGCATACAGGGAAAAAGTGGAGAGCCATTCGATACACCGAGGTTTCTTTTGAACATACTGACTATCTGACATTTCCCCAGACAGTCACCACACCCCTGGCAGTTGGATGCTGTGGGAGTGATGCTTTCTGCCACAACTCTCTCCCTGCAACATTCTATCTCTGCAGTCTTTCCTGCTCTTCAGTTCACTGACCTGGAGACATTTTGTTGCCTTACAGTTTATTGTCATCACATCCTCTTTTTCTGCTGCCTTAATATTTTCAGTCTTTGACAGGGTTCATGCTCAAATGTGTATGTTCCTTAGAGGCATTGTCACATCTACTATAGCAAGCAGTCACTCTCAGTACCTTTCTTTGAAAGGGACACTGCCTTCCATTTTCATTTGTTTCAAAAAACTCTCATCCTCCATGGACTTTTCTCTTATTTCCCCTTCCCTTTTAAGCAGCCATTAGCCTCTCAAATAAATGTTGACCAATGTGCCATTTGCAGAGAAAGACATGGAAAATGATGCCATATTGGGCTTCTACTCCATCTTTATCATTTAGGTTCCCTGGTTATATTTAAAGTGTGGGGGAGGCAGTATCTGAAAAATCTGCCGCATGGTTTTCCATTTTCTAAAATTATTGCTTTGAAAGCTGTAACAGGGCAGTAGGTTCTAAAAGCAATGAAAGGACCCAGCAGGTACCTTTCCCCTGGGACCTAACCCTGCCTCCCAGGTGATGGCAGTGCACGAAACATGGCAGCATTGCAGATGCCATAGCTTCTTGTCCTCTCTTCTGAAAGCGAGATTGGTGTTGCTGGCCTTCCCTAGCCTGATGTCCTTGAAATGTGTTGGACTGCAGCTCCCATCATTCTCTAGCCAGAAGAACTGGTTAGAAGGTTCAGGGAGTTACCATGCAACAGGTTCATAGACAGCAGGTCTGAGGAAGGCTTGTATAATCAGGATAAATCCATGACAGGTTTGAGGGCAGGATGGAGCTCTCCTAATTAATGGAACAAACTACTTCACAAATTGCATCACAGCAGTTGAAGCTGATTGACTTGCAGAGAAATTTGTTTATAGGGCTACATGTGTATGTGATTCCAAAAGGGGAATGAAAATGGGCCTAGATGTCGGACTTTGGGACAGAAGGGGTTGGTAAGATTTTGTGCTGATTTCTTCTTCAGACATGCAGTCCTCTCTACACATACCATAGATTAAGCCCTGCTCAACTCAGTGAGACTTACCTCTGAGTAGACACATACATACAGTTCTCACAAAAATTAGGAAGGAGACATTTGCTGGCTTTTCTTTTATGTGGAATGTGGCTGTGGTTTGCGAGTTCTAGCTTTGGTCCCTCTTGATCTCAAGAGAAATGACTCTGAACTGACTGGGTGTTTCTGATAGAACCAAACTTTCAAATAACCATACTGAAATGCCCCCTTTGTGCTTTTCTTTAAAGAATAGATGATCTATCTAATTTCCAAAAGTGTGTGCATGGGAAGAAATAGTCTATATATTTGTTTAGGTATAGCTTAGACCCTGAGAGATGTATACTATTGTTGTAGGAGGGTGCATAGAAAAGGTTATAGGAGTAACTGAAATCAAGCAAAAATTTTTGTTTGGAATTTGGGAGAAGTGGGAGAAGAAAATTTCTGGAATTCATGAAAGATGCTGCCTATTCTCAGGGGATCATTGAATGCTTTGAATAAAGTGACAATTAACACATGTCTAGCAAGCTACCTTTTCTGTTTCACCTGTTCTTTAAGTAGCTAATAAGTATAAAGCGATAAAAGTTGTGGGCATGCAAATCTGTCAGAATAAATGGGAGTTAATTCTGAAATGAGGGATATCATGGAGATAGGGTGTGGGAATATTTCCAAGCTAGTGTTTCCTGCTAAACCTTTTAATCTTCATTCAGAATATCAACCAAAGCTTGCAGTAGTCTGTCATCTCTGTGTTTGTATGGTTTAGAAGTGTAAAAAAGATCGACATAGTCACTGTACAGAGACTCCTCTGAGTCTCTCAACTGGGAGGCTCGGTTTAGTTTCTCAAGGGCTTCATAGAAATGTTCATATGGGATATTTGAGTTATCATTTAGCATCTTCTTAGGCACTGGATTTCCAGCCATCTGGCCATGAAATGCATTTTGAAGCAGGCGGAGCATTGCATCTGAGGAAGCCGTCTTCTTCTTTTTCTCAGTGCTGCTGGTACTTTCTGTCACCCTGTTTTTTTCACTCAGGTTGTCTTGTGTGGTGTGGTCCTGAAATATATATGAGGGTGCCAAACATCAGGAGCCATTGAAGGTTGGGGAGAGGAGTTCTTAAAAGAGTCCCTCCTCCAGAACTGACCAGCCCATGTACAAAGGTCAGCAGGGATGCTGTTGGAGAGCATAGGGAGACAGAGCTTCTCAGTGGGACACCATTCCATCTGCAGGGAAATAAAATTTGCCCTTCCCCATGTTCTTGACCATTAGACAATTAAAAACATATGTGCTTGTTGAGCTCTAACTTGGCCCTGGAAACGCAATGCTTTAATATTGTGTGTTGTGTTATGAACTGAGTATGCTTTTTGCTAATGTTCTGTCATGTATTATTGATTTTTCACTGTATTGTGTATTTCCTGAGCTCCCTCAGAAGTATACAAATGAGATATAATGAAAATATAATATAATGAAAAATAATATGAATGCTATATAATTGAAATAAGATAAATATCTTTCATACAAATGCCATATGGGGTGGGAAGCCTGAGTGTCAGAATTTGCAGACTGAAAGGGGCGCTTACAAATGTGGTGGCTGGCCAGCATCCCCAGTTCCAGGTGTGCTAGACAACCACCCGATGGTTGTGATGGGAGCATGGGGGGGGTGGGGGGAGGTGCTCCAGCTCCTCTTCCTGGCCTGTGCCTGCAGGCTACACCCACACACCCCTCTGCAGCCACCCTTGCTGGGAGAGCCATGTGTCCTTCTGAGGTGTCCTCAGAACAAGGCATCAGGCCCTCCCAGTTACTAGTAAGATGGGAGGAAGTCACCCAGAAGAGCTGTCCAGAGCACCGCCTGCCTGTTGCCTGGCTCTGAGAATCCCTTCGGAGTGAGGCATCCGGTAGATGCATTGCCTGGAATGCTACAGTGCCTGCTTCCCTACTGTGCCCATTCCAGCAGCTAATGAGGAAGAGAAACAGTAATGGAATGAATCCAGAAAAGGCAAGTGCATTTTGAAGGAACATTATTTCCCTCCTCTGATGTGCAGCGCATGCTAAAAGGGAAACATGGATGGGCATGAAAGTCAGATTGATACCTCCACGAAGTCTGCCATCCTTTCCACGCCTCTTCTGTCATTCTGGACAGTATTATAGGATGTATAGACACGCGGTTGCTTCATATGTTCAGGTCGGGTTGACGTGCCATGCAAAATCAGTTTCCAGTTCACAATTCTTCCTTCATTTTGCATTCTCCTAGACTGAGGGGCAAGAGGAGAAACGTTAGTCTTCCGCACTATAAAAGTGTGAGACTCATGACAGAAAGCAGATGCTAGCAAAAATCCAAGAGCAACACACAATGATTATAGGATTTGAAAATTTTCTGAGCAGGTTGATCCAGATTTAAGCCAGATCAACTGTTCTGGTGGATCAACTTTCCTGACCTATGGCAGCCCCTTCAGTCCCTGAAAATATTGCACAGATACCTATTGCATAAAACTTGAAATAAATCATGGCTTGTTCAAGGGTTATTTCCCAATTATCTAACCCTTGAACAATACCTGCCACTGGGACATTACAGGGAACCACACCTTATGGAAATGGTGACCGTAACATCATTATATGGTACCATGGCCAGTATTTGTGACAAGCCTAAATTAAGCATTGATGGGCTGTAATGACATGGAAGGAGGTGAGTCACAAGACTCTGCTGATTGTCATTGTGTGGCATTGAAAGGGAGATTCCCCAAATAGTGTGGCAAAGCTATCTGATTATTAAATCTGCCAAATGCACGCATATTCTCTAAACTGCACAAATAATACTTCAATTGTAATTTGCAAGGATTAGTCATGTTTCTTTTTTTAAATCATTCTATACCAATATAATTCCTGGAAGTACCCCTCAAGTAATTTTCATCCAAGCTACTAGTGACATTCTAAGTATGTCTACACAAAAGTCCCATTAACTTCATTATGACTAACTGCCAGGTAAGTGGGCATAGGGCTGCAGCATAAATTTTATCTGTTTGCAGAAGTACGCACTAGCAATGTTAATAGCTTCGTCTTCTTATGCTGCTCTGTTTTTAGTTGAGCAATTTTTACTTTGCTATAATATTTGAACTGAGAGTGGGTAGCCTACAGATGTGCCAAGTGAACCGACAATTGCTGTGTGGATCTAACAACATATTGCATTCCTGAATGTTAGCAGTGATTCTCACTGACGATCCCACAGGTAGCTGTAATTAAAGTTAAGGCTCATTAGTGTAAGAACTGCTTTCTACTCAAGCAAGACAGCATGAATTGTGAAAAACTGCAGCCTAGATATAGCAGTTTTTGGTTAAAGTTCACACTCCTCTAGATGTGGACAGAAAGCATCACAACAGTGTTTTGGCAAGATTTATAGAACATTACTGTTTTGGGTAATTTTTCCATCTGCAGATTCCACAGGAAGTGAACAGCATCCACTGGTGTTGTGACACTAGTGCTGAACCAACAGCAGCACGAGGTTGTTAGTGCTTGCTTGCTTGCCATGGTGGTGTGGTGGTTAAGAATGCAGGGCTGGGACCCAGGTGATCTGGGTTTTAGTCCCACTCAGCCACAGAGCTACCAGGTGATTCTGAGCCAGGAGCAGACTCAGCCAGCCAACCTCACAAGATTGTTGTAGTGAGGATAAGAGTGAGAGAAGGAAGAATTGCTACAAGTTTTCATGAAGAGCATTAATCTCTCTCAGGCTGTATAACAGCGGTGGGAACCTCTTTTAATCTGTGGCCGGACTGCTTTCCCCCACAGATGATTTGGTTGACCAAATGACGTCAAGTGATAGACCCCTTCTTCAGAGCCCCTCCTCTTCCCCAACATCATCCACTCCCTGCCCTGCAACTTTTACCTTTCTTCACGTAGAGAGATGCATGCAGTTGTATGCCTCTCTCTGCAAAGGGAAAGGAGCTCAGCTGGCAAAAGTGGAGCTCTCTATACCATACTTGCTATCCTGATTGGGTTGGTGAGCTGCACACGAAGGGGACAGAGGGAGGGGGTAAGAGGAAGGGCCCCAGCCTTCAAAGGCCGGATGGAGACCTCTGCAAGCCGCGGTAACTTTTGCAACATTCCAAACACTTCTATTGAGTGAAAGCTAAATCCATTTGCAAGGAAAAGATAAAGGTTTAAAATCATAGGAAAGCCTAAGATGCAACCAATCACTTCTCCGCTTTGCAATACACTCCACTTGAGATGATATAGAATAGCATATGCTTTAATAAATATATTAAAATATAATAATTACAACCAGGACATGTGCTGTCTTCACACAAACAGTGGCAAATCATCCTATCTAGGTATGAGCTACAGTTCGGGAAAGAGAGCCAAGCATTTTTTTCTTTAGCTGAAAGGCTGTCCTGACACATTCTGATCTAAAAATTAAAAACAAACAAACATACGGACTGCTGCCCATCAACCGTTAGCCCCTGGGCAGCTGGCTGGAGTGGCAGAGAGATCCCCTGGTCACAGCCTTGTACTTTGTGCTGAGCTGCATTGACAATTTAAATCATAATGCTTATTTCTAAATTCAAGTCGGTACATATAAATCAGCATATGCAAATGTTATGCAAATTGCATTTCCTCTTTTTTGACAAATCCTATGTAGCCTCCCTAACACGTAGCAGTGAAATGTTCCTTTGCAGAGCTGAAGTTGGTCCCATTTTTCTAATGGTTTCTAATGTCATACAGTTCCCATGATTTTCAGATCTTCTTTACAGACCTGGAACTATAAGAGCACTTAATTCACAATGTTCTCTGTCAAAAGACAGCAGCTACCAAGTATTTATGCACTTCATGCCTTTCGTGAGACACATTCCCTTATGCCCCATTTCATCCATTACTAGGAACATATAGACTTTGTTAAATCTATTCCATTTGCTTGTTACAAATTGCCAAGAACTTTTCTTCCATCACTGATTCATTCTCTCTCTCTCTCTCTCTCTCTCTCTCTCTCTCTCTCTCTCTCTCTCTCTCTGTGTGTGTGTGTGTGTGTGTGTGTGTGTGTAACACCAATGTGCACTTGCACTAATGCTTACTTGTGCAGATATGAATTAGTACAACCCTCCATCAAAAAAGTAAAAAAATGGTCTGTAAGTCTGAGGAATTCACCTCAGAAAATGCCAATCCACTCTGGAATTTGAAGGCTATGTTCGTAAAAAACTGAGCTTATTTGAATCCATTGTCGATGTCTCCAAAATTCCTATCCATTCATTTGGTATTGTTATGTGCCATCAAGTCATCTCTGACGTAATGACAACCCTGTGAGTGAATGCCTTCCAAAACGTCCTGTTCTTGGCAGCCCTGCTCAGCATTTTTAAAGTCAAGGCTGTGGTTTCCTTTATGTAGTTGCTCCATCTCATGTTTCATCTTCCTCTTCTTCCGCCTTTGACTTTCCTTAGCATTATTCCCCAGTGAATCTTGCCTTCCTATGATGTGCCCAAAGTATGACAGCCTGAGTTTCATCATTTTTGCTTCTAGGGAAAGCTCTGGCTTGATTTGATCAAGGCTCCACTTCTTTATCTTTCTGTTGCTCCAAGGTATTTGCAAAGCTCTCCTTCAGCATCACGTCCCACATAGATCCCTTTTCTACCTGTCAGCTTCCTTCCTTTTCCAGCTTTCACACCCGTACATTGTATTTGGGAATAAAAGATCTGGACTGCTTCAGTCTCTGTGACTTGGAATAATTATTGTGTTCTATCTGCTCAGGATACTTTATTCCTTCCAAGTGCTTTCAGAACAACTTTCACTTCACTTTTCAATACAGCAAGTTCTTCTTCATAGGATTCCTCTTTGAATGGGTCTGTCATCCTTTCATCTCCTTTCCACAGTTCTTCTCTATATTATTTTCAGCTTTTCTTTATTTTCTTCTGGTTCAATAGCATGTTCTCTTTTTTCTCCTTCCGCATTCCTGAATTTGAATTTTGAATTTCCCTTTGATTTCTTGGATATTTTGGACAAGGTTTCGCATCTTTCATCTTTTGTCGTTGTCTTCTATTTCTTTGCACTATACATTTTAATAGTTCTTTTTGTCTCTACATGATAGTCACTGAAAAGTTACATTTAGAAAGGTAAGAGTTTCTTTTGTCATCATTTTAGGCTCTCTCTCTCTCTCTCTCTCTCTCTCTCTCTCTCTCTCTTTCATATTCTTCCTTAATAATGTCTTTGGTTTCAGTCTATAGTTGTTCTTGTGTATGATCAGTCCAGTTCTGTAATGAAAATCTATTCTTTATATGCATGTTAAATTCCTCAGGAATGTTATTGAAGATGCATTTTGGCATTATGCTTCTGCTAGTGATCTTTTTCACCTTTACTTTGATTTTTGATATTAATCATTCATGGTCATTGCAGTAATCTGCTTCTAGTCTTCTATTGTTAGCAAGGATGAAGCTTCTCCATCTCTTGTTTTCAATTATGTAATCTGTTTGATGTCCACATGTACAGTCGTCTGATGGATTGCCTGAAGTACGTATTTGTGCTAAACAGTTTGTTGGCTTCACAGAATTTGATCAGTCTTGTTTCATTTCTTACCCTCTAGCCAAACACTTGTTTCCTGCATTTGCATTCTAGTCACCTATGGTTATCAGCAAGTCTTGTTCTGGTGTGTCATCAATTTCTTTTTGGATGCTTTCATAGAAGTTCTGATTCCTTCTTTTTCAGCAACTGTTGTTGAATGATGATTATTTTGATAGATTTTCTACAAATGCTGACTGTTAGTATTTTGTCAGGCTTTCCCTTATAACCTTTTACCACTTGTGCTTGTGTTATGCCTTGCCTCAGCATTAGAGCCACTCCTTTCTTCTGAGTATGTCATTTCCAGTGTAAATCATTTTGTGGTTGTGTGACTGAAAATGTCTCATTCCAGTCCACCTGAGTTCACTCACATCAAGTAGCGTGAAGTTTAGCCCTTCCATTTCTTGCTTTACGTTTCCCAGTTTGCCTAGATTCATACTTCTCCCATTGCATGTTCCAATTGTATGTGCCATGCAGCATCGGACTTACCTTTCACCTCTGTGCGTGTTGGCCTCCAGCCTTCCTTTTGGTTTTGATCTGGTTATGTCATTAATGACAACACTATTTATACTTGTCTTTGCACCTCTCTGGTAGCTGAATGCCTTCTGACCTGGCAGTCTCATCTCCTGTCATGATCTCTTGTTTTATTTGGATTGTTTCATCACAGTGTTTACAAGGTAAGAGCATTCAGAAGTGGCTTGGCGTTGCTTTCTTGCGTGCAGTACTAGCCAGAGCTAGCATGAGTTCCACTGCCATTTTCTGTGAAAGATCTTCCACAAGTGTTGCCTTTAACTACCACTGTTGCCCCTTGGTTGCCTTCAGGAGTTTATCTGTCCCATCAGCATTAGAGATATCCATTCTCTTCTGCCGATGTGACCATTCCTCCTGAAGAAGGTAGATGTCTCTTAATCTAGAGCCTCCATTTTGCCCACTCCACTTCGGGTGACCCTACCAGGAGACTAGCTTATTTACATGTTTTTGGGTTTTGTTTGCATCCAGCAAATGGGCATCAACTTGTTCCTCCCAGAACTACTCATAGATGCACTGAATTTACTGAGCCATAAAAATATATAAACTGCTAGGTAAGAAGATGTTACATCTAACTTTTACTCAGTGAAGCCAGAAATAGAATAGACCCAATTTCTATTCCCACTATCCTGCACCACCATTTTAAAACACAGAAAGGGTTATTATATTAACTTATTCCCTTAATAGGTTTGGTGAGTTGGTAGTGATTGTTGAGTTCCAGAATGTAAAGTAGTTCAGAAGCTTGATGATATTTCCTAATTTGGAGGGCAGGAAATATATCCCCATTCTTCTCATATTTATACCCATGCACATGATAGCTTCAATAGCTTTCCTTACTTACCATGTCAACAATTTTTAAAGTCCATGTGCCTGTTGGATCCTCTCCCCAGGTGTGAACTGACATAAAGTCCCAATCTTTAAAGCCATTGGGTGACTTATCTCTTTGCCGCTCAGCTAGTAAGACTGTGTTGGTCCCTGTAAATGGAACAGGCATCATAATATATTAATGCATACCATGTAATTTGTATTAATAAATACTAATACATTTACATAACAAAATGGTAATGATAACAATGAAATAATGGTGATAAGTAGTCATATAAGGAAAGCTGATGCAGCTTAGTAGACAAAGATAAATTCAAAGTCAGCACTGGGGCATAATATGATCTTAAACAGAGTGTCTCATCTTGTATCACTTCAGCTCATCAGGGATAAAAAGGAAATGGCTTGTCCCTCCAGACTCATGACTATTCATGGGCTGAGCATCCAAGGAGATACAGAGAACCCACAGATCTTAAGCTATCCAGCACACTGAACAACATTAAGCAGTGACAGAGACTGGAATATGTTGTATGACTTTCTGGAAGGGCTGAATGGAAGATAAGAAACTAAGAATTGAGATTAAGTATTTAAACCAGGGATACTTTGGGCCATGGGAATATTTGGCAATTCACTATCAAGGGATGCTTGACAAAGAATAAGTAATCTTCCCAAAAGACTGAGTCCAGGACAGAGTTGCAACACATGCTCACCATCATCATTGCAATTCCAGCTTCCAATAAGAAAATATTTTGAGTTTTTAGAAGTAGGCAGAGTACAGCAACTTGGAAGGTGCCACAAAGGTGTTGGGGGGGGGGGTGTCACTGATACTAGCAAGCACCATGTTTCCAATGCCTGCTCTGAACCAAAATTGCCTAACCTTTTGCCATCCAGATGTTGTAGACTGCAATCCCCAGCATGCTTGACCATTACTTATGATGGCTTTGGACGAGAGTTGTAGTTGAAAACATCTGAAGGGTAAAGTTGGGGTACGCCAGTGCTTTTTTTTGTCATAGAATGCACTGGAATGGAGTTCCAGCACCTTTTTTCAACAGATTTTCCAAGTTTTAAAAGTAACTTTTGAAAATTTGATGTTTGTTCCACGTGTTGAGCGTAGCAGGTCAGCGGCAAAATCATTAAAATGGTGCATGCAGGCGGCTTGTGTGTCGAATCCGATGCATGTGTACTTTGTCCGCACTGGTTTTGATGGTGCTGCTCGGCTTGTGGTGCTGTTGAGCCTGTGATTGGTCATGTGGTTGTGCGCTGAGTGCTTACTGCGGGTGGCGACCGTTATGTTTTGTTACACAACTGACGTGTGTGGGTGTGTGTACAGTGATTGACTACGTGTGAAAGGTAAATAATTTCATGAGTTCTGGCACCTTTTTTCTTACAAAAAAAAAAAACACTGAGGTATGCTACTCTGAAATGCGAATCATCCTCAGGTTTCACACCATCTAATAGCATATCTGTTCACCAAGCTACTCATGAATCTTGATGTGGGGTGAGGACTGGCCTTGGCTGTTGTGGGTCAGAGGACAAAAGTGGGCATCAAGAACTCGGTAATTACTTTGTGTTTGAGAAGCTCCATGACTCGTGGCCATTACTTGCAGCTTTGCATGCTATTGCAAGCCTCCTGTGAATTAAATAGTACCCCCTTCCAGCACTGGAAAGTATACCAGGGCTGCACCACTAAACTGTGCTTTGACATCACCATGGTTTCCCTTGTACTACCACTGATGGCCACACATTAGCCTTGATGTCTGGGTAGGGGAAAGCAGCGTGTGTACGTAGGCAACTCTGTGTATGTAGCCTTCCATGGGAGATGCAACATGGTCATGAAGGTTTCCAGCTCTCATGGAAGTGTAGGTCCCCAGAGATTTATGTGCAGAGGCTGGTCCTGTCCAGGCAAGCATGCCTAATATGGGAGGTAGGGAGGGCTGGGAAGCCTGCAACATTAGGGGCCAGACCCTTTCAAAGCTTGAACCTCCTTCCACATAACATTTGAAGAGTTTCAGGGTTCTGCTATAGACGTCATGGGTTTCAGGGTTCTGCTATAGATCCAACCTTGAGCAAGAAGATGGAGAGGGATCAGCACCATGAAAAACTCCAGGTGGTGCTGAAGCTGGAGACCAAACAGTGTTTTCTGCATTTCCCCACAAGAACTAGAGCAAGACTGTAGCAAAATTTAGGCTGATTGACCCCCCTTCCATACTGGCTGAAGCTTGGTGTCTTAAAGGGGCCAGGCCTGTCTTAACACTCTAATATCTACAGTGAGTATCTAATGTATTCATGGTCTGAGTTCTCAGAGTGGTAATGCAACCACCTCAGGATGCAGGGGAGCTGAGCTTGGGAGTCTTTATGGTAAACTGGATCCTAGGAAGGTGGAGGCCTCATAATGTCATTCTGTAGCCAAATTATTGCCCTAAATCATTAATTCTGGAGGATTCTCAGAGGAAAAGGAGCTAGGAGCCTCTGAAAATGAGGCTTCAGAGTCCGGCATGACAACAACTTGGTCTCTGAAAGTCCCCAGAGTTTCTGGCTTTGGTTTGGTGTTTGAAGTCATTACTTTATTTTTGGAAAATTAATTTCAAAATATAGTGTTAGGGGACACACATAGCCTATAATCAGGGGAGTATTTTTGCCACTGATTTTGGTAGCCCTCCTATTAACCTATTCTGCAGTTTGTAGCACATTTACTTTAGAGTAGCTGTGCTGATGTCAGAGCTTCTCTGAAGAAAGCCAGTGGGAGATCCCAACCAAAATGAACAGGTATGGGAACTGGCTCCCTGATTTTCCAAGGTGATGAAAATGGTGGTCTCTCACACCACTATTTCCCCAAGCAAAGCACCAGAAAGTTTCACTGCTAATTTGGATGGGTGTCACAAGGAACTCTGGGGGTGGTTATATTGACCATGAACCATCCTGTCATGAGCAAACAAGAAATAATTCCTCAGTAGATGTGATGAAATAGAAGAACTCTCTTATTAAATGATTCTGTTGCCAAGACAACAATGTCTGGTTGGTGCAGCTTAAGCTGAGCTGCATTCGTTCCTTACAGTTCAATTAGAACCCAGCAGGATCTTCCTACTTTGCACTCTTGGTCTCCACACGGACTTGCATGTACATAATATAATGCATATAATTTAAGCTGCTTGGTTTTGGTAGTCTTGTTATAAGATGATGCATAAAGATATACAGCAGCAATGTTTGCTATTGGCTGACAATATCACGTCATCCAAATGGAGCTCATTGATACTTTTTTTATCTTCACCTCTCAGAGTTTTTCTCTTTTTTCACCCCTTTCTAATGTGCTGATAGTTCAAGTTCAATCCAGGGGCACTAAACCACTTTCTGCCCAAGGGCTGAATTCAACTTCAGAGAGGCTCTCCAAGCCACATTCCAGGGATTGGTGGAAGGGCAGTGAAGGCAAAGGTGGTGCTGCAGGGGGGGGGGGTACAAATACAAACAGTACCAGGATATTTGGAGCATAAGGTTTTTGCTGCCCACAACTAAGCCTTGGGTCATTCCAAGCAGAATGAGAAAAAAAAATGGTGCTAGAATTGGGCAACCACCAAAGGATTAGCAGTCATGAGAAAGGGTTGCGGCCATCTGAGAATCCTGGGGGTGGAGGCAGTTTGGGGCCTAGGGTGGGCCAGAATTTATCCATGGGCTTGAGGTTCAGCACTCCTGCTTTAATCCTTAGATCTACCAAACTATTAAAAGTGAGTAAGAATAAATATATAAACAAATCTGTTGGTGATGCTCAGGGTTCAACTACTAGCCATGGCAGAACTGGAAGGTGTCCCTCCCTTACCTGCTGGAGAAGTTAGGGTCACATGAAGATCACCTCTGCGGGAATATTCAATTGTTGCTTCCAGTTGGACATGCTCCAAGGACTTAATGACATTTTCTTGACCTTCACAAGCTGTTGTGGGAATTTCAATGGTAACTTCACCACTAGCTCTTAACAACCTGGCAACATTGTGGGAAATTGTCTGGTTATTTTTTCATTTATTCTTGCTGTGGGCATTTGTGTGTAACACCTGTGATATTACTTTGCTGTAAACTGCCCAGAGAGTTTCAGCTATGGGCAGTATAGAAATCAATCAATCATTCAGTCAATCAATCTATCAAAGTCTGATTGAGATAGTTGAGAAGTTTGCCTCTTTTACTGTTCACACAACATCCTTTAGAAGTCAGTTCTGGGTGAATGAGCAAGGTAAGCAGGATAGCTATTTTGCTTTCTAGTGCCTGGGAAAAATCTTGTAGTCCACAAGTGCAGCATGAGCTCAGCACCCAAAACCTTCTGGGGGCTGTTCTGGGCCCCTTCTGCCAGGGACCGAAGAGCCTGGCTTAGCACTGGGACAGTGCTATGGCTCGTGTTGCAGGGCGCTGTGGTAAATATTAAATGCTGATCCTTTACTGGAGGAAAACCCACAGCTGGAGGCTAGGTAAGTTGGCCAACTGCCCTCTTTTATAGAACATTGTCTTCTATTTGAAGAAAGCTCCCCCTGAAGGGTTGTTCTTCAAAGAACCACAAGAGCTGCTGCCCCTCAACAGTGAGCTCTGAAACAACAGGCTGACCAGGTAGGCACACAGCTCCTCTGGACAGTCTTCTGCAGCAAAATGAAGCATACCATCTTTCTATTTAAATTACAGTTAGTATTTTAAAATTTGCCTCTATGCAGATACATCAGCACTTGCAAACATTATGCATACACCTGCCCTTGTTTGTCTTCTTTGATTCAGGCTTCCTTTCCATTCTTGTATTCCTAAGTGATGGGAAGTGGTATTGCGGAAGAGGACCCATGCCAAGGGGCTGACTAGGTTCTGGAGCTGCCTTTGTTTCTCCCAATAGTCCCTCTTCTTAAATAATCAGATATTTAAAATTCTCGCAAATGGTGTACAATAATCTTACAATAGGATCCTTATCAGAGCAGAACTTTCTACAATGCAAAAAGATTCAACAATGGTATAGCTTTGGGCAGAAGTGAAGGTCATGTGGCACAAATTACAGCTCATATTCACAACCTAACTAAGGGCTAAATTATAGAGTTGAAGCCAGATGATTTGATTGCCCCAAAGGCCAGCTCTGTGGGTTGCAAAAGGCCGACTTCATCTTGTTCAGTCTAGCTGACCATTAAGTTCATTAAATATAAGCTTAGTTTGCATTGTACTAAATGAACTGCAAGTGTAAAGTTGACTTTAGCCACATTACTACCAGTCCTCTACTATATCAAGGAAAGTAATTCTTAAGAATCATATAAAGACAAAGTCAGTAAACCAAAGCTATTCATTACCAAAGAAACCCTTACCTTGGCTCAAAGCTGCTGTCCTTAACAATACACTCTTTCTTTTCTGGGACTCCTTTCCAGGTTTTGGGGTCACCCAAATCTACCAGTGCTTTAGCATTGAGTAATCCAAATCCAAATCTGCTGTTCACCATCAGCCCAGCACCATTCTTCTTCCATCCTGGATTGTTTGCCAATGGATCGAATTCAGATGTCCAGACTACCAAATGTTGTATATCCCTCCAGGTTAGATTAGGACTATCACAAACAAAATGCTAGTCAGTTTCTACATATGTCAATCAAGGGTCTTGGCCATAATCCATAATTTTAATATGTATTTATTCATTTATTTTTGCTAAACAGTATTTTTGCTACGTAAGTTCCTGGTGTAACTTATTCTTTTCACCAGGTGGGACTACCTTCAGGACTTGGGAGCTCCCTGAAAAATATCCTGCAGCAAAATACCCTCCATCCTTCACACAGCCCCAGCAATCAAGTTCTCCCTATTGGGTTTTCCAGTCATATATTTGCCACCCAAAATATGAAGGAAGATTCCCACAATGAGGTAGTAACCTATCTACAAATTCAAGCTTTTTTTTTTTTTTTTTTTTTGGCATGAGCTTGGATAGTAGGCTAAGTGATCCATGTTATGTTATTATTCAATACTAATTGTTCTTCTAGTGATGATTTATTCACCATTAGATTTTTTAAAAAAATTTGACTGTCTTTTACATTTCAGTCTTCACTTTGAGCTCTTAGAAGGACTTGGGGACTGGAAAGGGGAAAACCACCTACAATTTTAGTGGAATGTTTTTGCCTTCCCTCTAGATTTCATCCAGCTTCTGAAGAAACAACCAGTGTTAAATGTCACCCAATGGCACCCAATTCCCAAATAAATATTTGGCAGTATTGTCTTATTTTGGTTTTTGGCCATATGTTTGAGAAGCTGTAGAATCTGATTATAGACAATGCAGCTGACTTGAAAGATCCTGAACTGTTCCAGAAAGTGATATCATGAACTGTAAGGTGATGACAGCAGGGGAGAAATGGAGGAAGAAGTAAAAGATCTGTCTGTTCCAGGTTTATAGCAGTTTGACACATATTGCTGCACAGATCAATTCCATTCAGTTTTGGTATTAATCTGCAAAAATATGTAAACAGCATCTGCATGAAAATAGGTATTCTAATATTTAAGTATAATATTTTGTGTAAATTTTAAAATTAGAAATATCACAGACCAATGCCAAAATGGAATGGAATAGATTGGAATAGATATGAATGAACATATGTGAAACTGCCATAGACTGGCAATAGACTGATCTGTTCCTTCCTCCTTTTAGTACTCTTTCTCCTCCTCTGTATTTAAATATGCATTTTAGATGTATTTTCTCACAAAACATGCATTTTGAAATATTTTTGCTCTCTTTACCTGAAAATATACCTATTTGGATAGGTTTTTATTAAGCCAAGAACTACAGCTCAGAATTTTGAGAAGTACAGTGCCCGAGGTTAGCTTTGTTCTAATCTTCATGTAAATCCACAATCTTTGAAATGTGGGCCGAGCAAAATTTGCAAGCATCCCTAACTAAAAGGTAGTTTGAGCAGACTTACTTGGCTTCCAGGGCTAAAGCAAAAATCCCCGCAGCCAGGGGAGCAGAGGCAGAGGTCCCAGTGTGAGTGGAGGTACATTCATCATGAAGATCAGCACTTACCTGAAGGATACAAGCACCACATAAATGCTATGGAATCTGTCTGGCTTCAGTGTTGACAAGCATAAAAACACTCTTGCTTATTATTGTAATGATTGCAAACTTAGAGCACTTTCCCTTTCATCTGAAATCATTTGGCTTAGATTTGAAAACTCTTCCTTCCCACTTCTATTTTAAGTATTATTTTTGCATCCAAATGGCTCATATTGAAGGAAAATACTCCCACATCAGACAGCTTGTCTCATTCTGAGAACTCAGGAGGATAACTGTAAGTTTCAGAGTTACTGATGAATCATAAAACATATCATTGTGTTGGACCTAGGACATTGAAAAGTGATTGCCAGTTTAAAAATTACACAGAGGTTGGGAGCAAGTGTTCTTCTCTTTCAATAGAAGCACAGCGCTATAATTTGGAGGATGAAATAGAGGGGGAGGGCGGGTTAATGAAGTGTCCCACTATGACAAAGTGCCTGGCACTTCTGCTTATACAATTACAATGTGAAGAAGAAGAAAACTGTAATACATGTATGTGATTACACTTCCTGGGAACTTTAGAACTTCACTTCATGAGCAGGTGGTATTTCTGGGCTAACACCTTAGCTGACCACTTGGCCCTTTTCTTGGCTTTTCAACCAAAGATTAACACTTATATTACAGGAGTGTAGTTGGAATCCACATTTAAGTGTGTGAACTGTGGGTGGATTTTTCCAACCTCTCTCTCTCATGGCAGCCCCTGCCCCAGCTCCCTGAAAACATCACACAGAGTGTCAGGAGACCCTGCTGAATGAAGTGAACTGAGGAATCTCCCAGAATTAGGCTGTGGCACCTTTCATAAGTGAAGCCCATAGACCCGGCCCCAGAATCATTCTTTCACCAGTGGAAGGATATTGCTGGTGGAACAGGGATTTCATCTCATTCTCCTATTTCCATCACCCCTGCATGCCATCCAAGAGTGCAGTGGAGGATTGGGGGATCTTCCAGAAGAGATCTGGCAAGCACATGGGGGACCACAGGAGGAAGGAGAAGATGCGGAAGACCTGTTTCAGCACCACTATCCCTCTGCTGGCAGGAGTACAATTCTGGATCCAAGCTGCGGAAGGCACATCTCCCAGCATCTGCCAGCCTGCCTTACTGGCCAGCACATCTAGAGGGCATCTGGTTGGAGAAGACTGCGATGGAGCAATTATTTCATTCAAAAGAAAGACATGTGTAAACAAGCCGAATGCTCTTTTAGTCCACCAGGTGTTCTGTGTGCAGTAAACAGATGAGGAGGAAAAGTACTCTAGCCTTCTCCTCAGATGTATCCATCATCCCTTAGTCATGGCAGGTGACTCTCTGAAGAAGAGAACCTCCTGTACCTGTGAAGAGTCCCCACAGAATTGAGAATGCTGGGAAATCAACATCCTTAATGGCAGGGACCCCCTCCAAGGATACAGGAGGCTCTCCCCTTCAGAAGGTCAGTCTCCATGAGCACAGGGCAATGGGGACACCTGAGAAGGGAGTGAGGGCTAGAGTGCTCCCATGCCTCCGCTATACCAGAAACAGAATGCCTGGCTAGGGCTCTTGGGGAAGAACTCAGCATATTTGGGTATAAGGCACTGATCAGGTGCTTCCCCTCTCCACCCCTCCAAATCGTGCATTTATGCATGTTCCTCAAAAACGCTTGTTAAGTACGGTAAAAACAACCTACAATTTTCTGGTCAGTATAATCCCCACTGCTGTATGCTGTGGCCAGTGTTGAAGAGCACTTCTCTGCATACCAGGGAGAATGGCCTTGCTGGGAGGCGCTGCTGATGGAGACAGTGTAGATGCTATCTGTGTAGCCATCGCAGTCACAGTTATCTCCTTGGCGGCCACCATTTCCAGAAGCCCAGACAAAAATGGAGCCTTTCCCCTTTCGACCCTAGAGGGAATGAAAGGAGTGGCATGTTTATTGCAAAGGTGGAAGCACCACTGAAGGGCATTTCTGCAGCAATCATTCTCGTTCCTGCTTCGTTTGATGAATGGGGCATGTTGAACATTAGTCATTCATACAGATTGCTTGGGGTCCTCATGTTTCAATGGGATAATATAGTTACCTTTATAAAGCAATACGCAACTGGTGCAAGAACACAATAATCCATTTACTGAGTGGCTACAGGGTCATGGAGCGTTCACGAATAGTCTGAGGGGCAAGGATCAGCCACAGGATGCTGCACATGAGAACAGTTTCTCCACAGGAAAAGTCTGTTTGATCCAAGAAGGCCTCACCTCCAGTTCAGGGCATGGGAACCTCTTACATTCCGTTGGTGGGCCGAGCCAAAGGCAAAAGAAGTGGGGCAGAAGTAGCCTCATACTATAGCATCAAACTCTTGCTATTGGTAATTCAATCTTAGGAGGGATATTTCAATTTTGAGAATGGGGAGGGGGGAACTGGACAAAAGTTGGGAAATCACCACATGATTGGGGGAAAGAAGTGTGGTGATCTGAGGAAAGCGGATGGGTCCCTTGGAGCTGAAGTCCTCCACCTCAAGGCCCTGTCTGGAGACAGGACAGGCACAGTGAGCGGGAGATGCAAAGGTCCAGGAGATTCAGCTGCTGAGTATCAGGAGGCTGAATGTATGGGGGCATGAGGAGGCAGAAAGAAAGAAGTGGTCACAAAAACTTCGTGAGGGGAAGTCTTTACTGACAAGGCAGCACAAGGGTCGAGAGTCTCAAGCAACATGTTTGGTTACCTTACAAGTGAAAGCCTCCAAAGTAAAGTATAAGGTTTGCACCCAGAGGGTCCTGTGTCCTGTCCTTGGCATCTCCAGTTAGAATGGTCACATAGCAGATTATGAGAAAGATTTCATTGCCTGTTACCATGGAGAGGTGCTGACATTGAAAGTAGACAATATTCTCTGTTGGTGAAGCAGGAGTACTGAGCTCTTGGGGGCAAGAAAGTCATGGTGGCAAGACTGAATTTCACACATACAATTGAAAGAATCAAATTTGGGGCTGGATGGATGTATACTGCTCTTCTCTTGTATGTGTGTATGTATATGCATATGTATATGTATTCTACATAATATGGGGCTGGGTGATACACACTCCAGAACTTGAGAGGGAGAGTTTTGGTGCTGTTTCTAGGAACTGGCAGAAGAGCTGAAACTGTCTAGTGTGAAGGTAACATTTTGGAGAAGTTTTGTCTTAACAGTGTCCTCAAATTCTTGCAGCAAAATTGGAGGATTCCCTTGCATCGATCATTTCTGTTCCTATGCAGATCTTCTTATGGTGTCACAGCATGATCTTCAATTCAAAAATTGAGCTGAGGAAAATTGTTTATCATTCCTACTGTCACATATATTATCCAGTGAGATATGAATATGTTTCAGCTACCACACTGAATCAATGCAGCCTTGCTGGCTAGTGCAAAAACGTATTTTTTCAGCAACAATACATTACATTCTGAGGCTTGGGAGATCTCTGAAACACACACATGCTTTCCTGAAGAAAGATACATAAAGGACTCCATGCCAAAGCAGACAACATTCATAGACAAATAACACTGTCTGGGGAAACTCTGATATGTCTTTCATGTGATGTTATCTCTTTCATCACATTTTAAAGTAAGCACAGAATGACAACAGAGAATCTTCACCGAGTGCTGAAGGTTTCCTTTAAAATGTGATCATTCAAATTTGTCCTTAGATGGATGGACATAGACAGCATCTGGCCCAATTTTCACTGTGGGAGGTGCTGGGTTGTTGTTTGAGTGGGAGCTACTTGATCTCTCATAATGCCAATGATGTGGCGAAAAATAAATTGAAAACAACAGAAATAATTGTTCAAAGGCAACAGCTAGGGTTCTAGGTACGTACTTTTAAAAAGCAGAAACACAAGGAATACCAGGAATTAATACAAGAAATTAATTTCATTTCCAAGTATTACAGATATGGCTAATGTATGTGAATTGGTATTTCAAGTGTCCTATGTTTGGCATGTACTTTTTCACAGGGAAAAATAGCGAAACCTATAAATTGTGCATTCCTGTTCTTTCAAAATCCAAGGCTCTCAATTAATTAACACCAGGGATCAGTTGTGCCTCCTGTCTTCTTAGTCCATAGTGGCTGTTGAGTTAGAGGCATAATATGCAAATATGCATAGGATACTGAGAAGCGAGGGGGTGGGCATGGGGTGTGTGTGGGGGGGGGAGAGAGCAGGAGTGAGAGTGAGACAGAAAAAGCATGAAAAAGAAAACTTGGAACTGAATCTTTTAGCCTCTTTTTAGTAACAATGGCTCTTGAGGCATACATTTTGTTAAGGATTAATGAAGGTACACCCATTATAAAGAACAGCATGGTTCACTTTTAATCTGTCTGGATGACTTTCCAAATGGCTGATTCACAGGGTCGGAGAAGCAAAGTAATAATTCAGTACAGAAGCTATTTTCTTGTAATGTTAATAAGAAATGCATTAGTAACTCAGAGAAGGCAAGTGTAACTTTATGTTGCCTTTCATAAGAGGAGGATGCAGAAGCTCTTTTGAGCTTACGGTATTTGCAAGATGAAATGCTCTCTTCATGGTCTCTGGTAAATGCATGCAGTCCCAAGTCCCAGACTTGCCAAGCTCTTTGAACAGCTGTATGACAGACTGAAACCAAAGGGAAGTGACCTGCTTATGCAGGACTGAGGAACCAGTCCTGAAGCCATGGCACCCAGGATCTGGTCTGCAGGCACCCATTTAGATGGCCCCACCCTGCCCTGCAGCACAATTGAGCTTATAAAAAAGCTCTCCCATTGGCATCAATGGGCACTTTTTCCTGACCCTGATTTGCTGTGTTGGAGTGGGGTGAGAGGGATTCTCAGTGTGGGACAGGTTTTTTCTGAGCCAGGTTGTCATGTGGATGGAGGATGGTTATCACTGGGGCTGTGGGGGAGAGAGAGAGAGCAAGACAACGTGTATGACAGAAAGAGAGTAAACAGCTGGCTCTGGCGACATCCACCACCTGTGCTGGTCCAGCTCGCCTCTTCAGTCCCTGCCCACCTCTGGTGTGTGGTCCACTGAGATCTCCCCCAAGGGCATGTGGCCATCAGTGTAAAAAGTTTCTGCACCTGCAGACTAAAACATCTGACTCTGGGTTGGTTTCAGAGGTTTGCTAGGAAGCTTCAGTGAGCACTTGATGGAGCCTCCCCTCCAGATACAGGCAACTCCCCTGCGCCTGTTTGAAAACCAAGATGCTTGAGTGCACCAAGGCTTCTGTCACCACACCTATCTATCCTCAGAACTGCAAATTCAAATTCAAATCCCTTGGATTTCATTCACAGGGGTGGACCATCTTAAGGATTCCTTAATATTTGCAGGAAGGACAGGCACCACAAGACCAAATTTCATCAAGAAACAAGCTGACCATGAAAATGGGGTGATTTTTACTCCCCAATTTCTAGTCTACCCTCTCACATTAAGAAACAAAGGCCCAGTTAAGGTAAACCCTGTCCCATGCATTGACCACAAGTTGAAGGAACCCCATGATTACCATAGAGGACATGAAGTCCTGAGCTTGTCCTGTTAAGGCAGCCTTAATGGAAATGCTGAAGATTCCCAAAAACAGACTCCTAAGTTCTTGCAATACTGAGAAGAGCCTTAGGTTCTGAGACCACCTCAGCTAGCTCAGCCAAAGAATGCATTGCATAGCAGGTAGGACAGTGCACCAGTAGCACCCCCAGCCTGTCTCTCTGACCCAGTCTGAAGTACAGGACACCATAGCTTGCCCCAGGGCAGAAGGGTTTCGTGTGAGTGAGATGGCTTTTATGAAACACAGCAATGCCCCTCACCGGTGACCAGCCAGCCTGGACGAGTGCCACACCAAGTAACCAGGTGGACGAAGCTGAGTCTTATCTGCTTCATCTGGCTCAGCCATTCAGGTCTCCATGATGCAGGCCTGGTCAGTGCCTTCATCCACTGTCATACTATGGATGACTGCAATCTTATTGTGAATTCAGATGCCATTCACCAGCATCACAACCAGCCAGAGGTTGCAGATGCCAAGCAATCAGAAACCTGCAGGATGCGGCGAAGATCAGGGAGGGAAATGGCTTGTAGCCATCTGGGTCATCCACAACTCTGATGACATCTCCTCCCCACCATAGCAAACTGCTGCTTATCCATGACTGCTGTTATATGGGCATCTTCTATCTCCCAAGCACTATCCGTTTGACCATGACACATTCTAGTCTTTAGTCCCACCTGCCCCCAGGCATGAGTGAGAAGAAAGGAAACAGAGAAGAGAGAGGAGGAGGAGAGAAGAAGAATGAAGGAATGATCATTGCCCTGAATTATGTCAGTTTAAGGGTTCCTATGGACAGCTGGTTTGCCACTATGTGAATGGGGTGCTGGAGTTGTTGGACCAATCCAGCATAGCTTTTCTTATGTTCTTATGCAAAACAAAGGGGAATTGGCATAAACAAACTTTCTAAACAGCAGTAATAAAGGCCAGTGATGTCAGATTAGGGGAATGCAGTACATTACATCAGCATGGGTGACTATATTCTAAGCCCAGTCAGATGGATGATGCTATAATCTATATTCTGATCCTTCTCCTCTGTTGACTCCCACCCAGGGGGAGACCTTCTCCCGTATCATTTTAGAGAAACTCTTGGGACCACATTCCAGTGGTGGATGAGACCAAAGACTGAAGGGGCAAAGCAACAAACAAAACTAAGCAAAAATCCCACATTGTCTTAGAAAACTTTAAAGTTGTTTAGTTGCTAAACCTTAGAGGCAGCCTTTTAACCTTTAACAGCGGGGAGAAAACTGCAAAGGTTTTGAAACCACCAAACAATTGGTGTGTGTGGTGGAAAGTGGTGTGGGTGTCTGTGAAACCCAGAGGGTTTGATTCATATGCCAGGAGTGGCAGATTTAACCTGCATGCCTGCAGTTCCACATTCTTGGACAACAATTATCTTGTGAATTACAGCAGTGTGGTCAATTACAGCAGTCATGCTGAAAACTTCATTTGTGAATTTATTGTTAATGAATTTATTTTTCCCACAGTGGTACTTAAACCTTTTCTTCTCTTCAAATCATTCAGTTTTTTCATGTTGCTTTATGTTAATTAGATGTATGATTTGATGTAATATTCTTTTCATCTGTGAATAGCAAACTCTGATATTTTATTTGCTCATTCTAAAGTTATTCCGATGTGCATGTTGTGTTTTGTTGGTTTATATAGTAGTGAAACCTGAATCCACCCTATTCTTGTTGTGAAATGAGCATCACATGGGTTGGAATTATGTATTGCAATAACACGAACGATAATGGCTCAACACGTCTTCTCATCACCTTAATTATCACAAGATTGAGATTTGCAACAACCTCATGAAATAATGCATCATTTTTTGGCTTGTAAAAAATACAAATGCAATATTCATGAAGCAGAAAAATTACATTAATCTTTTATAGGCTCTCTTTCCATGCAACCTCGTTAGTATTCAAAGCAAAACAAGCCAAGAAGGAAACTGAAAACACAAGAAGGTTGTGAGGAAGATTTCCTGGCAAGGAATAATTTTTTTAAAAGACAACATGGTCTAAAGTTATGGAGAAGCTGGATCCGCAAACTGAACAGTGTTCTGCTGCTGTCTTCCCATTTGTCTGTAGGTTGGATCCACCTATCTAACTAAAAGAGTTGCTCTAAAATGGCAGAGCAAATAAACAAGCAGGCAAACACTTACCCATTGAACTTATATCCCCCGTCCCATTCCCTAGCACATACACATTGTTGTAAAAGATTAGTGCTGTTTCTCGTTCAGAGAGCTCACCTTTTTGATGCCATATTCAAAAGCCTTCTGCGCCAGTCTCCCTGGTCCTTCAACAGTTTTCCCATCATCATTTGGTCCCCAGCTGGCACTATAGATATCCACGTGGTCTGGACTGAAACCAATTGAGCTCGCTTCTATGGCATCTGTGACTATTCCATCCAGCATTCTTATGCCTTGATTTGGGTGGAAGGGAGGGTCAGAATCAAGACATTATTATGTGTTTGCTCTGCATGAGCATGATGAAACATTTCTGGTCATTATGTACAAATGCATTGACCACCATGATAAGCTGCGAGGGCCTGACACAGGGCCATTTCTTGAGAATTGAGCAGGGCAACCATCTTAGGCAATTTCTGGAGGTGCAACACCCCCACCTCCCAGTGCAGTTGTGGCACTCCAGTTCTTCCCCATTGTTGGCTGGCCTTCTATTCATCCCACCCAGAGAACCCACACGCCCAACCAATCTCTTGCTCTGAGGACTCTCCCAGCGTGAAAGATCAGGTGACTGGGTAGGTTCTCCAGAGAGCCACTACACAGTGCTGGACATGGCCCAAATGTGAAGCTTCAAGAGGTCCTTCCTTAAAATGAGGCATTTTGGATGAGATGGCTCTGAAGGTCACCTGTGCTGCCACGGCACGGATAACCTCTAGGGCCACCTCAACCAGAACACTGCACTTGAAGGAAAGATCCCTCAAAGCCTGACATGGAGGAAGAGACAAGCAGCTGAGAGAGCAAAGGAGAGGAGGAAGACTAGAGAAGAAAGGGAACTTGACGTAAACTTGGCGGTGGCAGTGCGGGGGGGGGGGGAGTACAGCAGGTGGCACAGAGAAGAAAGGGACATGCCTAAGGGAGGGACAGCAGCAGCTACCTGTCCACTAAATACCATCCTTCCCAGGGTGTTACAATACCCAGAGATGGGTCTGGTCTGGAAGTGTAGGACTTTACTGGATACAGGGAATTCAGTCTTTCAACATTTTTACTGGTGGTGCATAGTAGTAAAGTCTGAACTGCAGGTGTTCATCATAACAGTCCTGATAGCTATGCCCCCAGTGCAAATCCAAAAATTCAGACAGCTGTATTGATCTCTATCATCCAACCATCCATCCATCCATCCAAACCTAATTCTTTTGTAAAGAAAATGGGTCTTCATTGCCCATCCAAGATGAAGCCACAGCAAAATATTTGACATTGCAATAGGTGACAGTATAAAGCAATTTCCACCCAGTTACTGTGGCTAAATAAAAAGGAACAGAGACGTCTGAGGGGTGTGGGGGTAGCAGTTGGTGCCAGCAGCTCACCCATAAAAATGCCAGTGCTGCATTCCTGTGAGACCTGGCATCACAACAGCATGATTTGCATTAATGGCCTCCCATCCAGAGAACTGACCCCCCCCCGCCCACAATGTCTCTAGATTGAGAACCACTTGTTTCAGCTGGCAGGTTATAAAGATGTAAAGCTGGACTGCAAAATCAGATTGGAAGGCAACATGATGGATAACTTAGAAACCAGCAGAGGGGAGGGGGAAGCTACTACCCCAGGAGGATTCTAATACAGCAGCTGGCACAGTTGCTACGTGCTCTGTAAAAATTGTCCCATTTTCATTTATTCATTGTTTGGTTTTGGCTTTTAAGAAAGAAACACCTAAGTCTCTTTCAGTGCTAAGCCACAGGTCTGATTCAGAAATCTCTCACGATGATGCATGTGAGCATGAAAGAAAGAACAGTGTCTGTGTGAAAAATCAAGATACATCTCAAATAAAAGACAAGAAGGTGAAATCAGCAGCAAGGTATCTTGGCTCACTATTTGCAGTGCTCTGTAGAAAGAAAGTGGCTTTCATTTCACAGGGAAGATTAATCATTGCAGTATGTTTGCGCTGCATGCCAATTGTTCCTATATTAAAAAGCAGCAACAAGAAGAAAAGGCAGGAAAAAGCCCCAGTTTACTGAAATGCTATCTTCATTCAGACTTCATCTTAACACAGAGAGGACATGGGGAAAGTGTTGATTTATTTCAGTATTCCCATGTTGGTTACAATTTTTCCTTTTCTTTGAAATACCCAGAAATTATTTGGAACACTTTTGTTGCAAATCCTGTGCTGCTTACTTGGAAGCAAAACCCATTGAACTCAATGAGCCTGACTTCTAAGTAGACCTGTCCAAGATTGCAACTTTTCTGTTAGTAAACCACATACAAAATTCTGAGAAAACCACATGATTGTATTTTCAATCACAGGGAAAAGAAAACTGAGGTGTACATCCTGGAAGTTTGGATGTGCAGAAGTGAGTAGAGGAGGCAATGGAACAAACAGTTCAACACACATGCAAGCTCATCCTATGGCCCATCAGCTGAACAGCCTATATTGGAGGGTCCTGTGAAGAAACCCATAGCCAGGGCTTATTGGAAGTCATAAAAGTCATCATGCAGGTCATATCACAACATAGCTCTGCCCAAAGGTGCCTGTGTGTATTGCACAATACCTGTTGTGGGGAGGCCTTTGCACCTACAACTGCAACTGCCAAAACCCCTGTAGTGCAGGAATTTGCACTGCATGCTTGGAAGCTTGTGAGTGGCGTGATAATAGTGATGGCATATCAAGAGTGGCGCTACTCAACATTGGCCCATCCCAGGTCATGCAGTGAGTTTTGCTATGTTCAAGAAAGCCTGAATAGGCCTACACAAGCAAGGTGGTGGTGAATGTTATTCTTTGGGATTGAAATGCATTGGATTGGAGAAAAGTGTGTTGGATGAACAGGGGTATAAATTGTTACACTGCTGCACACAAAGATACACTCACTTGAGCTCCTTCAGTTCATCTCAGTACAGGTTTGGGAAGATTTAGACCTCTCCTTTCCTCCCCTCTCCTCCCCTCTCCTCTCCTCGAGTTCAGGGGTGGGATTGCTGAAGTAATGAATTAAAAACCTCTTCCTACCAGTAAGTCTGACTGGGAAGGGACAAGGTTAAAGCCTCTCCCCATGGAAACCTTGTGCCAGATCATGGAAAGAGTGAACTCTGTGTTGGAAATTCTGGGTGGGAGATGTGGTCAAAGCTATCATCCTTGCTGTCCTCCTGATCTCACTGCAGTTCTTTGTTCTCCACCCTCCAACCAGTGGCCGATCAGCTTTGCACTGGTGGAAACCGGAAGGAACACCAGGGCTACACAGAGCGGCCAAGGACCATGGACGTCCCCTGTGTATGCTACAGCATGTAACTGTTGAAGCAAAACCTTCCTAGCTCTTATACGGCTATGATATGCAATAGAGACAGAGGACTTGCTATAGTGCCTTCTCCTCTCATACTCAAGTTGCTCAGATTAGCATTGCTTTCTTCAGGGAGAAATACGACTAGAAACCAAATGTTGTTTGGCATCCTTACCTCCAACTTTGGAATTGTACGCAACTCCCACTCCACATTTTAGGTTGTTTGCTTGCATTGCGATTTCACCTGCGCACCGTGTCCCATGTCTGCAACAAAATATCAGTCCCATACAGATCATCTACCAATTATTCTTTATTTGAAGATAACAAACTCAAATGGAGCCAACACTCCCAAAAGGGACCACACCATGTTGTTTACACAGCACATACTGATATTGTCATTCAGTGTAACAGTAAGTCCAAATTTACTCCAAAGATAAACCCAATTTCCCAAGTGAATAAAGAAAATGCATGCAAATTTATCAGATGTACAGTTATCAGGCTACCAAGTAAGAAGATGTCAGAATTTAAATTTTACCCTTTTGCTGGATAAAATATATTCTATGATATATTCCATGATCCCTCACCTTTTCTGTATAAAATGACAGTTCCCAGGTAAAAAGGTATCTGATTTAGCAGTATAGCTTTGTGTGCAATTCAACGGCTGAATGCTGCCAGCCTGAATCCCATTTACATATTAATAAAGAGTAGATGTTATGCAGAGATGGAGGCTTTAGGGATAATGCTATTTGAATCAGATGATAATGGTCTCCCATTGCTGATAACTGCAGCGGCTGAACAGCGTGATCCATCTTCAAAAGCCTGGGAACATTTATCTCTTGAAAACCTTCCACTCTGAAGATACTATTTCTGTTATAACAGCATCTAGATAGTGAATGAAGCATAATTTTTCTTGATAGGTGGTGGTTGAACCATGGTGCAAATTCCCTAGGGTGTCATTACTGACAGTGACAACCTAATTGGCTTGGAACAGCTACCTGTTCGGGACTCCATGATTTGCATGAGCCAGTTTTTTACTGCTTTCACATGGTTTCTCAAGCCACTGCGAAAGACTCAACATGCAGCAGAATTCACATTGACCTGGTTCACACATAATGGCAACCCAGAGTACAGACTGAGTATGGGTTGATGGTAAATTGTCGGCTATTATTATGTCTGGACCCTGCATGGTGGTTTAATGTTAGATTGTTAACCATGGATATGTAGATGAGAAGTCTTGACTCATGGACAGTATTGGAGGGTGGGGCAAATCCTCCATTCCTTTCACATTATATCGTGCCCATTCAGCAGGAACCCCTGGCCCTGTGTGTAGCATTTTCAGAGATCTACAGGGGCTGCCAGAAGGAAATCAGGAAAGTCTGTTTCCAGCAGCCCAGTTGCCTGTCCCAAAATCTGAATCCCAGCTAAATCTGAAGTCCAGCACAGATCAGCCTCTGAAAAGGGTTGCACAGTCTATACTCAAAGAACATGTGGTACCAGACCGGCATACAGATCATGAATTCTGCAAGGCTCAGGCAAGATTGTGAAACCACATGCTATTCACCATAACACTAGACATTCGTTCATAACCCCACCATGGGAAGCAGTTGGATATTGCAAATGAGAAACACTAATGCAGTTAAATTCTTGAGACCGAGACTTCAGAATAAAATGGGAAAAGACTTTTTCCTTTTTTAAAGGAGGGAATACACAACCTCGGAGTAGAAGCAGAACCAGTAAACTGCCAGGCAGCTTATCAATTGCTCTATAATGCAGTTCAACATGTGTAGGGGCTTAATCACATGGCCATGACAAATTCTGAATGGATGTTTGGGCCAAATAATGGCTAGCTGTAAGAGCAGCAGCAGCAGTGCATTGCATTTATATCCTGCCTTTCCTCCTTTTGCAAGAAGCCAAGGTGGCGTATGAAGTTCTCTCCTCTCCATTTTATCCTCACAACAACAACCTTGTGAGGTAGGCTGGGCTGAGAGTCTGTGACTGGCAGATTCTCTCAAGTCGTATTGAAGCATGCCCTATCACAGCCTTCTCCAGCACTGAATGTTCTTTTCCAACCTAGTGTATTCCAGAGGTTTGGAACTACTACCATCATCCCCAGCTACCTGGGGATCCTGGGATTTATAATCCAACATATCTAAAGGAAACCAGGCTTCCTCTCCCATGCCATGTTTAGCTTCCTCTCCCATGCCATTTTCACACTCAGCATCACTATGAGTACCTCCCCATAAGTCTTCTCCCCACTTCTCCATGCTGCTAATACTGGCATGAGGGAGGAGCAGGTCAACATCAAGGGCTCATCCCTGCCCTCCAGTGCGACATCCTTGACCTAATTCAGGGGCCTTTCAACCAGTTTTGTATTTTGAACCTAGTCAGGAGATCTGATAATGGTCTTCGGAGAACCTGCTTTCAGACATGGGTTTGAATTACCATCATACCAACAGTATATGAGCAAAGCATGGTAAGATGCAGAATGAACCCAATTTTATACTGGAAAACCGTGAGTGCTAACGTGAACATTGTCTAGAGCTATTTGTCCAGCCTGCTGAGACTGTGTAACAGAGACAGAGAACACCACGAAAGATCATCCAAGGATATTATCTCAAGAAGTATTTCCAGGGATGGGCAGCACACTGGATGGGATGGGCAACTGCAGGAAATCCAGGTGCCATTGACTGCCTGCCTGCCTGCCTGCCTGCCTGCCTGCCTGACTGACTGACTTACAGCATTTATATCCTGTCCTTTACAGGCGTCTCAGTCCCTCTAGATCTCTTACCCTGCTGTGGTTTGCATACTGAAGGGCCCCCAAAATAAAAATGACATCTGCAGCACTACAGAGTGCCAAAAGGATCAAAATTAGCAAGCTAAATTTGGCAATTTTGGTGGTCCATAGTGGCATGGTAGGGGGTTAAAAGGGTCAGCCTTCAAATGATTCCAGCACTCTGTAGTACTACAGACAAGATGTAGTTTATTTATTCCAATAGAAGGGGTAGCAGGGGCCACTACAGGCCACATTAAAGAGGAGTAATAATAGCAATTAGTTACTCACTTGTTTTCATTGGTTGGATCATATCTGGGAAATGGATCGTGATCATTGTCATTGAAATCGTAACTTGCCTCGGGATCCTAAAGACAAACAATCAATGGAAAAGAAAAGGGTGGATAATGAGCTCTTCAAACTGCTGAGGCACTTGAGATGAGGGCAGAGGACCCTTGCTGGATCAGGCCAAAGACCCGTCTCGTTCAGGATTCTGTTCCCTCATGTCCGACTTGAGGGACGCCCACAAGTAGGACATGAGTACAATAGGGTCCTCCTGGTCATGTGCCCCAGCAACTGATATTCCAGTACTGGAGGCAATACATCTAAGGCTAGTGGCCATTGATTCTCTTATCTTCCATGAATGTAGATGCAGGGACTGTAATATGTATTACCTACATATTAGTTATACCTCTTGTTTTTTTCCTACTAGTCATCTTCTTTTCTAACACAAATAAGGAGGACTTTTCTTATTGCATAGGTGTTATGGTTGCATTTGTTCCGGAGGGGTGTCCTCTAAGGCCTTCATGTGATGATTCAGTTCTTCAAAATGGCCCAGAGAGGAAGTTCAGGTTGATGGACAGTGACTTGAAACTGCCCAGGCGGCTTCTTTGCTGAGAAGGGATAGGAATCGGGTTTCCCACATCCAAGGCCCAAGAGTCTACTCTGGCCACCACATCAGGAAATGACAGCTCTTTGCTAATGTAGATGACACTCACATAGTTAGGAGAAATGTCTGTGTGATTCCACTCCAAGCCATCATCAAGCACGGTTACGACAACACCTTTGCCTGTAATCCCCTTTTGCCACACAGGAAGAACGTGGAGATCTAGTTTTGGCAGAGATGGAGTTATTCTTGTGTCTTGCTAGGAAAAATAAAGGATAATGATTTATCTATTTAGGCAACCCTTGTCAAGGTATTTGGCACGCTTCAAAAAGCAACCTGAGTGAACAGTTTGTCCTGTTCGTAATGGTCACCATCCACTGGAGATGCCATCTGTCAGAGCCCCATTGAAATAGTGAAACTGGACAAGATTAGAGATATGCTTCTGCATAATTCTAATTATAAGCGATGGGACGGCATACAAAAACTCTAAACAAATAAAATACATAATAAGTAAAATAATTCCTATTAATTTTAATAATGCTTTTCCCCCTAACAAGACAACCTGCCTCTGCATGGCAAGCAGAGGTGGGTGAGAATTTTCCTCTTTATTAAAACATTCAGATAGCTTATTATGTGGGATACTAAGACCTGGATTTTTAAAAAATCCAATGCTGGAGAAACCCAAAATTATTATTCTTGATTATATTTCAGTAACTGCCCAATAACCAAAGCTGTATCTGAGGGAGATTTATCCATTCAGGCAAAGGGCTTGAATTGTTTAGTTCTTTAAAGTCTTCCTAGAATCTGTGTGTGTTCAACTATGTCAGGATGGATTAGGATTAGCCACTTTTCTGACATGCTCCCAAAGTCTATAGGGCAGGCAGGTACACTAAGGTTCCGCCCATGCTGGAATAACTCTACCTTTTGAATTCAGCCAGTGAAGGTGAGTGAGAATTTCATTTTGCACTCCTTAATTGTTTCTTTCATTTCCATAAGACCCAATACTCTCCAATAGTCAAAGCTCTCTGGGCTGGTCACAAAAATTTCCATCCAAAATACGTAAGCAATATAATATAATAATCTTTAGCATACCCAAATTTGGAAACACACTAAAAAGGTTACAATAAAATACTTGGACTAGATCAAATACACAAGAAATGCTGTCACTTATCCAATGCAACTCTTTGCACCCCCCCCACCCCCCCCCCCCCAAAATCCTCTTGGAGACCAGGGTGCTTCATGGAATGTACTGTAATGCAACCTAGGGATGGAGACCGCATCCCTGGGTTGGGGGACATTTCTTGCCTTCTCATTGTACAAGAATAATTTTAGATCTAAGCCTTGGATAATGTAGCTGATATTCATATGTGATTCTAGAAAATGCTTGGTAAGGGCAGGAACTGAAATATCATGCACTTTATGCTCTCAAACTGCAAATCCTAGGCACTTAGGAACCTGCCTTAAATTGAGCCAGATCCTTGGTCCATCTGGCTCCATATTGTCTGCTCCGGCCTTCTCCAACTTGGTGCCCCCAGATGATCATCAGGGGATCCTTGGTATTAGTGTGAGAGGGCACCATGTGTTGCTGATAGTGGGAGAGGTAAGCAGAAATTGCCGCCCCCCCCCCCCTTTTGAATGGAAGCACCTTTTTGCTCATTCAAAGTGCTTCTGGATCCACCCCACTGAACTTTATGGGACTTTCTCCCAAGGAGTCATTCATCTTTTATGTCGTTTATTCTGGCAATTGCAGTTCAGGGTATTTTAAGCTACAGGTTTGCTCCATAAAGACCCTAAAGAGGGAAATAGTAGCAGCTGATGACCAGAGGTATGGAAGAGGGCTGATGATCAGAGGTATAGAAGAGGGCTGCAGAACCTCTTAGAGTCTGAGGGACAGATTCCAGTGTGGACATGCTCTTGGGGTCCATGTTCTAGTGGTGGGTGGGATTAAAGACAAAAGGGGTCAGACAAAGGAGTTTTAAACCAAAAAATCTATATATATTTGCTCAAAGCTCTTACTGTCTAGCTAAGACTTAGGAGAAGACTTTTAACCTCTTATCAACCCCAGAGTGCCAAATCTGGACTACTTGAAAAGTCTGATATGACCCCTAGATCTTAGGTTCTGCACCTCTTTTATAGAACATAAGATGCTGATCCCTATAAATCTGATTTCCGTTTTGAAATCAGAAAACACTTTGCAAAAATATTATTCTGTAGATGGTCTTAATTTTGTAATGTGGATGCTAAGGTCTGTTTCTCAAGAGCTCCACAGCTTGAATGAATTCCTGTACATTTGCAGTGTACCTTGCATGCAATTTCTTAGGAGATGAAGGTCTGACATAAATGCAAACTCTTACCAGATACCATTGCTGATTCCACATTGGGTCATTGAAAAGTTTTTCTGCCGCGTCTCTGAACACGGACCGCTTACTTCGCTTCTTTTCATACTGCTGTTCTGCCCAAGATACCTGAATGCATTATCAATAGCAAGAACACAGAAAGACCTGGGAGGTCATTGCTTTTATTATTATGCACCACCAGCTCATTCATTTGCTGCATTTGTATCTCAAATCTCCCCGAAGGAACTTGGCTCTGGTGTTCCCCCTGCTTAGCATCTGCATGTGGAGAAGAGGAAAGCAGGGATGTCCCTGCACTGATGCCACATGTGGCCCTGGCTGTGCCCTCCTGGGAGGCCATGCTAAAGTGTATGGCTGGGTCCAGTAACATTGTCCCACGGCCTCCTTCTCCACACACAGAAACTATCCGTGGAGAACAACTTCCCCAAGCTGGCTCCTTCCAGATGCTTTAGACTCCAACTTCATCAGGAGTTATGGGAATGGTAATCCAAAACATCTGGAGAACAGCAGGTTGGGGAAGGCTGGGCTACAAAGTGTCTTGTCGCAGGCTACTATGGAAAACATTTTAAACAACAAGATGCACTTTATATGTGTAGGCATTTTACATGTGCTTCCTTCACTCTCCAAGTGACAGTTTATCATTATCTTGCACAAGCTAGAAACAAGTATTACCATGAGTCTGGGAGCTTCATACTACTCCAGTAGGAAAGTTGTTATTCACAGCCCATATGTTCTTCTACAAGGTACCGTAATTGGATCTGACTGAAAAACATTCACTGTATAAAAACTGTTACTATTAGATCATAACTAATAATAGAACAAGTGCTTTGATGACAGTGGAATTTTGCTCCAATTAATTTAGCATGTCTGTTGACGGAAATATCTTGAACATCTTTTATACAGACAGCTAGTTTTAATTACATTGCTACTTTTAATTATGTTGCATTTGCTGCAGGGTTCTTTATTACTAGGAACTTAAGCTCAGTTCTTATTATTCAACATTTAGTCCATCATTTTTAAAAGGCAACTGGTGCCATTGAAGCCTGCCATGAAGACCATTCCGATGATCCATTAAATTCGTACTGGTCCAGGGAAAGTCTGCAGAATGGGGTGCAAGGGAATGAGAACAACTTCCCTCCTGGGTCAAATAGCATATTTGGTGAGGGACATGTTCACTACTCTTTCTTCCTTTCTTCGTGCTTCTTGAAATGCTGCTATGGTGCCTGGGATGCCTAGAAATTTACTTATTTATTTTATTTAAAATATTTTTATGCCGCCCCCATTGCAACGAAGCCTCGGGGCGGCTCACAACAGAAACAAAATACATAAATACATAAATAATAACAATAAAAATTATTTAAAAACCCCTGGTGCATCTCGGCTAAGAAATCTGCATTTCACAACATAGCTAGTGCCTGCAATTTGCTGTAGGAATCCTTAACCGCAGTGATGGAAGGAAAGAGAGTAAGGCAGGAAGGGGGAACAAGAGTCAGGGAGAGGGACAAGATGGCGAGGCAGAAACATGCTTCTTTCTCCACTGCTGATGCAGCAACAGGAACAACAGAGGCTGCTGCACTAGCCAGACAGGTGGCTTTGGAGCTGACTTTCAGTTATGTGGACTATGTTGCTGTTGCGGTTGCTGGGGACACAACCAGGCTCAAAACTGGACTGGAATCAGGCCTGGAAGCCATCGAGATGGTTTCCATTTTAGGCTGAAGTATGTTGTTGTTTTAACTGATTCCAGTTTGGTATTGAACTAGGTCTGGGGCTCAGGAAGAGCTTGCTGAGAAACCTGATAGGATTGAGAATGTGGTGCTGTCTTTTTGAGCTCCAGTGTTGCATGGAGTCTTTCCATATTATTGAATATTACTTTTACATACTGGATAGTGCTAAATATTATATTCCCAGTTTTGAGAGGCATTACAAAGAACTTACCAGGGCATATTGCAAGTGTGCATATTGCACACTCAAAATTCAAAGCTAGCTGAATAGAATTATTCAAACTGTGGCTTGCTGTTATTATCTGCCAACTATTTGCTTTTTTGTCCTGCTTCCTAGATAAGTAAGGCAGAAATTCCTGTAGCAAGATAGCAAGTTGTTTATCTCAGAACGGTAAAGCAGGCTCTGGATGTTCCTCCTTGCTAACATTTTTCTTATTGGAATTAGCATACTGAATACTTTGCTATGACCTTACATCCTTTAGTTTAGCAAAGTATATGTTGCAAAGCAAAGTATATGTTGTAAGACTATGCACTTGTGGCTACCACATTTCAGATTCATTTTTTCCCCTTTGGCAGCTTCCTTAAGTAACCCTTTCATCTCTGATGATAATATCCTCATGGCAAATCATGATATTGACACCACTTAGCAGCAGCAGCAACAACCTTTTGGTAGGAGACCTTAGGATTGTTACCTATGCTCAGTCAGTCAGAGCATAGGTCAGTCAGTCAAATCAAGATCTCCTCATTATTTCTAGAATCCATCCATCTTTTTCTCTCAGTTCATTCCTCATCAAACCATAGTTATAAAAATTAATATGCTGAAAAAGGAGTCTCTCAGTGTTCAGATCTATATAAGACCCATCTCTATCCATGCTCACACACACACACACACACACACACACAAGTCCTGCAACCCCCATTGTAGCTGGAACTTGCTTGGAGTGGCAGGACTCTTTTTCTAGCTAAACATGTATATGATTGCACTCTTACAAGCCATGGGGAAATTTGCTTGAAGGAGGCTGAACATTTGCAGCAGCTAAAATGTTTCTGGCAGCCTACTATGAGCAAACCCTTTCTCCAAGAGTATGTATCCTGAACTACCCCATCCCAAGATTTGCCGAAGTAAGAAATATCTGTCTTTAGGAGGGAAAAAAGTAAGAGGGAAACCCAAAATAGTCCAATAGGGACTGGGCGAAGAAATGTTAACTCTCTGTTGTAGCTCTCTCTGTGGCTGACTAGAGCACTGAACTGGAGTGTTGCACACAGCAACATTTTGCTGGAGATCCTGATCGGTGGGTTTATTCTCTATCCATTTTGCAATGCATAAAATAAGAGTGAACACAAATGGCCATTTACCATGGGTAGCACACCCTAACAAGCATAGATCGATCGATCGATCGATCGATCGATCGCTCTATCTATCTGTCTATCTATTTCGGAGTGCTTCTGTAGTGCTTTTCATTTTACCAAAAAGCAAAACAAAATAGAGTTGCTTAGGAGGCAAAATCATGATAAAATACAGTTAAAACAGCTATCGTTAAAACAATAAAACAACTACATCTCCTTAAAATAAGAGAAGGAATTAGCCGGCAGTGATAGTGGACAGGGAAATACCTGGGTGAACAAGTGCCTCTTCAGTTGACAGCAGAAACACTCCACACTAGAAACCTGTTTGATCTCAGTGGAAAGACCATTCCACATGGTGGGGGCCACAACCGAGAAAGCCCTCCTCCACACCATGGTCCAATAAACCTCATAAGCCAGGGCATGGCAAGCAAGGTTCCCCCTCAAAATGTAGAGACGGGGGCAATTTACATGGAAGAACATGATTTCTCAAATAATTTGGTCCTGAACTGTTAAGCCCTTATAAAGCACCAGTAACTTCTTGAATATGACTGAGTGGTTAATTGGCAGCAAACATAGGAGCCATATCTGCATGATAAGAGCATGGTTTTCTATATTGTCTGCTCATGCCCTACTCCTAATCTTCTAGATTTCTATCTGCCTGTAGATAAAACTGAGTCAACACTGCAGATGACAAGCTCCCAACACTGGTAGTATGTTCACCATTCTAAGTTACCATTTGGAAAAAGGGGAGAGGATCTATATCTGTTCTGAATGCCAAGCAATGGTTACTTCCTGCAGATTGCTAAAGGTCGGTTTTTTCCTTTATTGTACAGGTACATTGTTAGTGTCAAATCAGTGGCAAGGCACAGAGGAAGCGCAAGAAAGGACAGGTTTTTTCATTTTTCATTGCATAATTGAAAATTCAAACAATTGGAAATAGGCTGCCCTTGACTAAGTGTAGACCTCTGGAACAGAGTCTAATACAGACACAGAGTGTTATATAAATGTTTGAGAACTTTTGTTTTCTAAATTGCAGACTGTTCTGGCTAGAACAGCACTGAATTATAAAAGCTATATAAATGCAAGTGGGAGATTACTTTTGAAACTGCACTTGCTGTATTTAAAAAGTGCTAGTATCTCCCTACCAGAAATAACTGCAATAATGACCACCAGTGGATTTTATGACATCATAGGTTGGATCCCTCACTCCCACTCCATTGACAGAAGCAGCCATATCACTGGTACCTCAAGGGGTGATTCCTGCTCCCCCATGGCAGCCTCCCACAAGCCCTCCAAATCTGCCCTAGGGGAAGCTAGTAAACTCCCCAGAACAGATCTTTGGGTGGTGTGGAAGGCTGCAGTGAAGGAAGCCCCATCATGCCAGTGGACTGGATCTGACCCATATGTTTCCTAAGATTTCTGACACAATATGGCTTTATTTCAGATACAATAATGTGAAACAAAAATTAGCAATTCTGAATCAAAGTTTTAAGGTGAGAGGACTCCACAACATACATTTCAGATTTCACCTTGCAGGGATCACCCACAGTCAGAACTGTCAAAGATAAATACATGGTCAATTCATGTATACAGAAACCTGCATGATAATGACTCCCACACAGCCGCATCACCTCTGCATCATTTGGATGGTGGGTGCTGCCTGTTTGAAACTGCCTTCTGGAACCATTGATTTATGTGCTGATTTTTGAAGAAATTTCTTAGTGTGGTGTAGTGAGATGAACTAGAACTGGGGAGATTCAGACTGAAATTATCCCTCAGACCTGAAGCACCCTGGTGGCTCTGGACTACAAGTCCCTCTCCTCCATGAAAGAAATGGGGGAAGAGAAAGATGTACAACATATTGAGCTTCTTAAAGATGGGATATAAATCCAAGAAAGAGAGTATGAGAAAGGGAGGGAGGGAGAGAATATTATTCCTGAAACATAAGCATGTAATATGTTGGAAGACTATGTCTGATCAATTGCCAACATTTGAGTTTAGCCATTTTGCAAGCTGGGAGGCAGTGCATTTTTTACAAGATAAATCCTTAGGGGTTTAGTGGGGCTTTCTCCCTTATAAGTGCATTTTGGATTGGAGCCTTTGAGAAAAGTAAATGCGATACTTACACGCTGATCATCTGAGAGTCTTTTAGTGATATGAGTTGCACTTCTTCGAGACCTTTTAGGATGGCTCTTATGTCTAAATAGATAATGATTTTCAAGTGATCCAATCTGTAAGACAGAAGATGACTGTGAAGACATTTTTCATATTAAGCAGCAGTCAACAGCAAGTGACAGCCAGAATTTCTCAAAAATGCTTTAAATTTAAGGACATTAGATTTTGCCTGATCAAATGTTTACTCAAAACAGAGGTTCTGGGATTGTGGGGCCATAATTATGCTCTGCCAGTATTTTCAAATTCTGCTCTTGAGATTAAAAATGAAGTTAATTGCCACTAGAGGCATTGCTAGTCATTTAAAAATGCCTTACAGTCACAAATCTGTGTAACGTTTAAATATGCTTATTAATTTATTTATATTTACAATATTTTTACCCTGTCCTGTACAAATGTCCCAGGATGGCTTACAACATAAATAGATCATAACAATAAATAAATATAACAAAATACAATACCATAACAAGCATAACAGAATGGGACTGAGGATGACCATATTAATTTATAGCTATTTGTGCACATTTAGAAATAACCACTGGGATTTAGTTACATTTCAACAAAGAAATAGTTTCCTTTCCATTATGACACACAAAAAAGCAGATAGTATGGTTCCCCCCAACATAAAATCTTTTCTCTCACTGGAGCATTTTGCATATCATGATGAACTACCATAGGTTAATTCACTTGCAGGGTTCCAAGAAAACGGCCACCATTTTGAATATGGAAGCTGAGGTGAGGGTGTTCTGTGGTTTCTCATGTCATGCAAAGCCAGGTATTTTGGATTATTTGAGGGTTAAAGAACCCTCAGATAACTCTGGAACAACCCTGGTTCATATGATACAACAAGAAGCGGTACTCTCCCACCACAGCTTTCAAATTCAAGATGGTGTCCAGCACACGTCACAGAGTCCTGCAGTTGAACTGACCCAGTCACTTTCTGTGGCATGTGAATTGGGTCTTTCTCAAATGTACAGCCTAAAGATGGCAACTTTTTCACCACAATGGAGTTTCAAGTATTTTTCAGAGTGCTAATACAAAAACAAAACAAAGGATAATTGGAGGCTCACCTGCAATTAATCGCCTAATTCCTCCCAAATCTTGCTGCAAAATTTAATCAACCCTCTTCCATTAATTATCCTATTTATCAATAATCTTTTCCCTAATATATTAATTTTGGACTAGAATTAAGTGGTGAATAACTCTATTTGGAGGTTTCAAAAATGGGGTGAGAGGTGGGAAGGGTGATGGCCCAAATATGAGTCTGAGGAAGCCGATGAAAAGGGAGTAAGCATGAACTAGGGAGGCCAGTAGAGGGAAAGACTGGGGTGGAGGAAAGGAGGCAGGGGCAGCAGGCAGGTTTGGGGCTTGAGCTAACATGAAGGGAAAGCCTGGAGGAAGAGATGGCCTCTTGAGAGGGGAGGAGGCATGGCACAGAGGAAGCTTGGAAAGATAAAGTAACAAAGGAGACAGAAGCAATTTCTGGAATTGTCTCTTGTGAACAGGTTCTTATGTCCACTGCAGACATTTTAGATTCCATTGCATGCCTGCTGCCCTTCTGAATATTCAAGCCATGATAGAGAGTTACCCTGGCTTACTGTGTTGCAAGAATCTGGCCGGGGTAGTTTATGACCCCTTCCAGGAGAGGACAGGAATTGAATCTGCCACCTTCTGTATGTGAAGCATGTACTTTAGCACTAAGCCTAACACAACAATATTAGTTAAGGAACCAAAAAAAAACCAAAAAAAAACCTGATTATAATCCTTTGAATGTAGATATTCTTGTGAGCAAACTAGAATAAAACAGATTAAGGTCTGGATATATATATATATAGAACACATAAGGGGGGTGTGTGTGCAGTTGCAGGGGAAAGGATTCACATTTGATTGGAAACTCATGCAAAGTTTGACTGGCTTTCACACTGGGAATAAATGGAAACCATGGTGCAAGTATACATGAATGAAATAAATAGAACACCATGGTGCAACCGCATGTGTGCGTGCGTGCATGTGTGCACATGTGCGTGCACATAAAATTGATTCCATGTTAGCTGCATCTGCTGATTAAATTTGTGCACAATGATATTCTCCCAACTTTTACCAAGCCAGTGCTGTTTGTATGGTTGCTTTGGAGACTTCCAATTACATGACTTTGTCACTGTATGCAGTCTTTTAAGCAGGTCTTTCTGCAGGAATCCAGGAGCTTTAGGTTCAGAATAAGACTCCTTGGAAAAGTCCTGCACTGCCTGAATTAAAATGCAATCAGGAAATAGTTATTTCCGTGTGTCATCTGTCCTTATATTTTAAAAAGGGCTCTCTCTGGCTTTAGATCCACACTCCCCTAACCAGCCTTCCAAAATCCACATCCAGCTATCTATAGGGAGAAAATGGATAACTCCTTACTTCACATGTTGCAAAGGTGGATTTGAAATTGAAATCAGGGTGTCATGCTGAGCTATAATGCTCACTGATTTTTTTTGTATTGAGAATGGGGGATAGCGGTGCCTATGAATGAGCTTTTTTCTAAATAAGAAACCTGACAGTAGATATGTGTATATCAACAAAGTGTACAGTGGATTATGTTCCAATAGTTTGACCTATGAAAGATAAAATATGGAGGAATTTAATTCTGTTGTGCTGACTATTTATGGCAACCCTTCGCAGCAACACCGCTACGTTGGTTCAGTCAGTAGGTCTGAGTAGCTATTGCTGTCTGCTGCAAAAAGGTTAGTTTGATTTCTAGGCCTGGACCTGTCTTGCTTCTCATCACTCATCTTTGCACTACAAAGAGAGATGGGTGCTTCTCTTCAGCTTCATCTGGCGGTCAGCGTTGTCCCCAATAGAGCTTTGTCACCCTCGCCCCCCACTATGTAGTGGACTGGATTAGACTCATGTTACTGACACAGTGATGCAAAGCACCCAGTGAATCAGACCTTACACACCCGTGTGCATGTATGTATATAATTTCCATACAGAAAATTGACAACAGAGTTTGCTTTAGATCATGGCAAATGAGATTAATAAGAGAGAAAGGGGAAGTTAGATGCTGATCTGTGCTCTTCTCCTCAGCAATCCCTGCTTGGTTTTGGACTGGTATGGATGCATTGGGCTGCTTCTTTGGAAAACAAACCAGAGGAGTTTCATTTCAGCATCGTGGAAGTCAACAGATGGAGTACAGAATCCAGTTATCAAGCTCTGTCTACAAGAAAATAGAAGCAAGCCTAGCACTGTTACATAAATAAAGTTACTCATCCCTGACAACAGTGACATCATAGGATGCCGAAATGTTGGGTGGGGGTGGTTTAGTGAAGAGGAGATCATACTCCCCACCATGGAGAAGAATGAAGTGGTGGGCAGTGCAATTTCTTTCCCAATTCACATGGCACTGCCACCAAAATGCTGAGGCACAAAAATCTCCCTCAAAGCAGAGGACATGGGCTGGCAAATGAGCCCATTCTTCTTGGCTGGTGCAACTTTACTGATTTGTTGTTTAAAGAAGAAGTAGTTGAAGAAGAGGGGTGCTGGAGATTACATTTGCCTGGAAACTAGATCCATGGATTAGTGATTTTCTCCTGTGTCTTCCCAGATGACTGTGGCTACTCAGTAGTAAAGGAACTCTGCACATGCACAGAAGTACTCTTCTCTCAATCATTATTTGATGCATCCCAAAGCTAAAGGAGGCATTGAAGAGGACACCTAGCTAGAGGCATTTAATGCTCAGCCACGGCACTAGGGAGCTGCAGGGGATATAAGGCAAAGCCATGGCGAATTCCCCATGGGGATCCCTTTTCCTGGGCATCTGTCAGTGTTCCCTCCGTTGTAATTTCTGACATCTGCTGCAAATTCCACTCCACTCCACTGCACATGGTATTCTTGGCGAGAACGCAACCGATTGCAGAGTTCAATGGAGTAGGCAACACTCTAGCCCTTGCCAAGGAGTCCTCCTTCGGCTCTGACGCTGCCATGCTAAGGAGGGGTGGTAATGCCGGTGGAGAGGGTGCAAATCAAGCAACAACAATTCCGTGATAAGATGTGGCAGGAGAGAACTTGGAAACTCTTAGGAGTTTTCCCCAAAGATGGTACTTGCCTTTCGGAGGTAGGAAGTAGGAACCCGAGGTAGGAACCCTTTAAGAAGAGAACATGCACCCAATGCGTAAGAAAGGCTCGCCGACGACGGAGGGTGCGCGTCGCCGCCAGCAGAGCCGCCAGCCAGCGCGAGGCGCCGGGGGGGCAGCACGGATCCTTGGCAATCACACCTCCGGCCAGTTGCAGAGGGAGGATCAGAAGCTGCTTTGCACCCAGGGAAGCGGGAGAAACAAACTTGTCTGGTTTCGAGGAGGAGAAGCGGAGGGCGCGTGGGGAGGGGGAGAAAAGAGGCTTCTTACCTGCCCCAGAAGTTCATACTCCAGATCCTCTGCTATGGCCTTTGCAGCTTCTGGACCTCCCGGGATCTCTGCTGCCCATTCATTGACAAACTGCCTCTCTGTCTTGCCTAGGATGACTACACTGCAGGCACAAAATAGAGCCACGAAGACGCGTTGCCCTACCCAGCAGCTCCTTTCCATGACACCCGGAGAGCAAATGGGGAGGAAGGGAGGAAGAAATTACAGAGGCGATAATAATAATGATAATAATGGTAATTCCAACAGCTAGAGAAACCGGGGCGTGCTTGTTCTTTTAAAAAGAGCGGAAGGGCCCTTCCCCACTTGTAGCTACGCGATCGGGCAAAGGAAAAGGAGAAGCAGTCAATTCTCCAGAAAGTGTCGTGCTGCGATCACAGGTCTCCTCTCTCTGTCTGGCTCATGCTTGAAAAGGAAGACTCAAACCCGCCACAGCCAGAACGGCAATGCATGTTTACACGTCAAAACGACGAAAGCGATCCCTGACGTCAAATCTCCCAGACTAGATGGCTGTTCCCCCGGGAGGGGAGGAGGAGCACAAGCGCCTGCCAAGACCGCCGCCGGGCTGTGGACTTCGCCGGGGAAAGAGGAAAATGGTACGAATCATGCCAAATGCACGGGCGCCGAGCAGAAGCGAGCGCCTTCCCCTGACAGGCTTAGGAGCTGTCCATGGTGGAGATACTCCCATCCCTCCCTCTCGGCCTTTTCTTCACCTCCGTGTATATTTATACACACACACCGCCCACCGCTGGCTTCCCTAGAGATAAGCAAACCGCTTTCAAACGAATTATAGCAATTTTTTAAAAAGCGAGCATCCCCGCAAACGGATCGAGATTTCAATCAAGGGACTGTGGCTTCTTGATCCGGATCCCCCGCGCCCACCCTCTCCTTGTTTTCCTTGCTGAAGCCCTGGGGTTCAGCAAGCCTCGAAAAAAAGATCACAAAGATTCTGGAAGGCAAATAAATAAATGAATAAATAACAAAGCGGCTCGTCTGCGAATTCCAAGTGGGAAAAAGGCAGCTAGCTGGGAGCGAATCTCTCAGGACGGTAGTCCTGAACAAACTCATGGGGATCATTCCCCTGCCTGGTGTCGGGAGGGGTTGCCTCTCAGGAATAGTTATGATACCCCACAAACAGCCCTCCCCCACGCCTGCGTGTCTTGCCGAGGCAAATTTACAGCTAGCATGGCGAAGATGCAGCCCCTTATCCGGGAAGATTGCTCTCAGTACAATTCCCAAAAGAGGGAGAGATTGAGAGAGAGAGAGAGAGAGAGAGAGAGAGAGAGAGAGAGAGAGAGAGAGAGAGAGAGAGAGAGAGAGAGAGAGAGAGAGAGAGAGAGAGAGGCGCACAGAAAGATTCTCCACAGACGGGGGCGGGGGGCAGCCCTCACTATGCATTGTCTGCATTGGTTGCGAGGAAGGGAGGGGAGGGCGACCGAGCAAATACACTTCCAGCCACTGCTGCAGGTCCTCCACCCTCCAACGCGACACGTCTCTTAAATCACACACAATTATTCTGAGCTGGAAACTTAGGGGAAAGCAACCACACAGCTCTCCATCTTTTGATTGGTAGAGGGTGGGTGTGCATGTGGAGGAAGGCTGTACCATGGCACCTTTTAATTCGGAGTCAACCATTCCTGGCTCTTTTCTTGCTGATTTCCTTGCCTACTAAGTCCCAGGCTCTCAGGACTCAGGGTTGGATTTGGGAACTTGCTTGCCTTGGCATCGTCATCCTATTTCCAGTCACCCCTCCTATCTTCTTTACTTCTTTCTGCAGCTGACCCTGAGCATCAGCCAATCCAAAATTGCTGCTCCTGGCAGTACAGAATGTGCGTCAGTATTTGTTGATCTGAAGGTCTCCAATTTTCCTTGGCATGTAAGACAAGGATGGGGAATGTGTGCTCATCCCATGTGAGGTTGGACTGCAATTCCCATCATCCCTCACCATCTGCTATGCTGGCTATTGCTGGTGGGAACAGTATTCCAACAACTTCTGGAGGGGCATGTATTCTCCACTCTTGTCATGCCTTGTATATTCCTCCAAAGTTATGGCAGGAAGGAGCTGTAGAGGATATGCTTTGTACGCAGAGGGAGCCAGGTTCAATCTCCAGCATCGCTAGGTAGGGCAGGAAAAAGTCCTGCCTGAAGATCTGCAGAGCCATCGCCAGCCAGTGCTGACAATACTAGGATAGATGGATGCACGGAATAACCCAGTGTGGGGCAGCCTCCTGCATTCGTAATGCCGGTTGACAGTGGCAGTCCAAAGTGTAGACTGGAGGGTCTCCCTGCTTCCCCCCTCAACACATGCACACTTTGGGAAGAGGAGGTCAGCAGGGCCATGTCCTGCTAAAGCAGTGAGGGAGTGACCAGAAGCCCATCACACTCAGTGGGTCTACTTTCAGGTTTGTGATCTTGTGTTTTACTTCATGAGCAACGTTTCTTGAGCAGCACTTTTTATTTCATCATTTCTACTGTTTTCTCTTTTGTTCCCACAGCTATCTCTACTTCCTTTTGGATTGCCTTCCTTCCTTCCCACGTTCCCCATGAAACTTGCTTTCTAATCCTTTCTTGTAGCCCAAGGAAGCATTTTTCTGAAGCATTTTTCATAAAGTGGCCTGCCTTTTCTCCCCCCACTTCTGAATATCACCCTCCTCTATTTTAGGCTCTTTCCTTCTCTTTTGAAAAATTCCCATCTTGACTATATTAGTTTCCCTTTACAAAGCTCCAGTAAACTTCTGAAGCTCAGACTTCTTTATCCTCCTTTGATTAATTCTCAGGGAAGGATGGTGGTTGAAAAGAGTACGCTGACAAGCTCGTTTGCATATTTGCTTAGCTGAACCTGCCAGTTCCACTATGGTTTGCTTTCATGACAAGGCTGTGTTTCTCAAACATCCCTCTGTATTTTTATGCTATGTATATTGTTTCTGCTTCCTTTTAAAGTGCATGATCCCTATCCTGCACACACACACAATCTATCTTTCAGTATATTTTAGTAGATTTAATTTGTGGTGATCATTGTAATCTCTCAGTGCTCAGCCTATCTCCTAATGCCAGTTAGCACTGCCTTAATGCTAATGAATCAACATATCTTCCAAAACTTCGGTTTGTCATCATGGTGGTTACTTGGTTAAAACGTAGGCCCCGTTTCAGAATGTTAATGGGATTTTAGCTGGCATTAATGATTGTCAGTAGGGGTCTGCGGCTATTCCATTCATCTTGTTAAAGGCTGTGCTCTCATGTTTGTGGTTAATGAAAACAGAGACGGCAGCGATTTTGCAAATGAGGAACTGACATTTCACAGTGTGCTTAGGGACAAGAGTAAATATTGCAGAGAAAAGACAGTTGGTGTGTTTGGACAAGTCAGGTATTCCACTGGCTGGAAAGCAGGCACAGGACAAATGTATTATTTTCCTATACGAACTCCTTGCTCTTAAGGACACCAAATCCTTCTGGAATACTCATTGTTCCTTTTTGTTTTAACCACCATAGATATTTTTGTGTTATAGATAAACATCTCCAGTTTACTATTCAATCCTAATTCTGCATTATTCATGAATGACTTGAAAAGCATCGGTCCCAACGCAGATCTTCTTGGGACTCCACTGTTTAATTCCTCCATTGGGTGAATTTACCATTTATTTCTCCATGCCTCTTCCTGGCTTCCCCACAATGTCTCCAAAGTAGAATTCAAGCCGCTGGACTGAAAGAGGTTTTACACTCAATTCAGAGGACAGTAAAAGGATTAACTGTGGGAAAAACTAGTATGAGCTTTCATCTTTGAACTTCAGTGAGTCAAAGTACTTTCTACTTTTAAGTATTGCAAAGGTAGGCAATTCTGGTATTCAGCAATTCTGAATGGAGTTTGTACCATAATGTTTTCTCCCATGGACAAATACCAACTCTGGAAAGGTAGCAATGAGCATTTTAATTGGGAAAACAGCACAAGGGCAAAAGATTAGCCCCACATATCCTAACATGCTGATCCCAAACCAATTACCTCCTTTTAAAAATCCTGAACAAGGAAATCTTGATTACAGGCCTCCTGTGTCACATCTAGATGTGTCTTGATGTATGTTATATTTCTATTTTGAGCTCATATGTCATAGATTCCCTCTCTCTCTCTCTCTCTCTCACGCACACACACAGAGGAAATATCTTATTTCCCTTCCTTTTTTAACATAACTGCTAAATTGAGATGTGTTGGTGGATGGATTCCTGATGTCACCTACTTAAGAGAAACATATGACTGCTGTTATTTTTATGCACAGTTACATCTTAAATCTGTGCTCAAAGTAAAATGAATAAGCATTTTGTTCTCCAACGATGAAGAAAACATTGTGGCATGATGTCTGTATAAGCTATTTTTGAGGGGGCCTGAGAGCTTGGAGAACAAATAACTTATTAATCAATGGTTGGATCCAAAGATGCCTTACCACAAATGTAAGGAGTCCTAACATTTAAGGAAAGAACCCCTCAATTCATGGAAGGGCTAAGATCCAGTGAAGACTTCCAAAAATAGAACATGGAGGAGCAGAAACAATTTTCATGAGTTTCCACTTCACAGGACAGCCATTCACATCACCTTCACACCAGTTTGGATGGTCACTCAACCATTTTGAGCAGAATTTAGGGGAGGAAGTGGGGGGCAGCAGGAAGGAGGATCTAAGACTCAAGTGCTCACTATTTGTGAGTTGAATTTTGTTCATGCAAATCCAGGTCCAACTCTTTGTTCAGGTCACATCAATGCATACCTATAATATTTATTGTTATGTATTTTGGAATTTTATTTGTGTAAGCCATCCTGAGGCTCTCGCAAAGGACAGCATACAAATATCTTAAATAAATAAATAAATAAATAAATAAATAAATAAATAAATAAATAAAATGGCACATATGTCATATAATCCCTGTAAGTGGTAGATGTCAAATAGAGCAGATAATATCTGTGCAAAAATAGCTACACTGGTTTCCTGTTAGCTCCAACTACCCAGGTACAATTCAGAGTTTTTGACTTGAAGTCCACAGTGTCTCCTCTTATATGAACTGGACTGGATCATCCAGTGGAGTCCTGCTTTGTGTGCCAGCATTATCTAATATTTCATTTGGTGCACAAGAAGCAGGACCTATTTAGCAATGGCACTCTCATGATGGAGGTGACCTACCAGAGAAGTTCAGCAAAGCAGACCCAGTTTTGGTTCCCATGAAGTCAAATTAAGACCATATTTTTCTAGTTAGCCTCTATGTGGTATTTTTACTGGAATCTGCTTTTACTATGGATTTGTTGTTGTTATTGTTCTTCATAATGCTGTTATTTTTAATTATTTTCAACTTTTTGATGGCTTTTATTTGTTGCTAGTTGTCTTGAAA